ATCAAGAAAATACTGACCTTCTAAATTCATATTTAAAATGGATGAAACGGATGTGAAATACATGGAGAGTAAAACTAGGTGTTCCGAAAGGGTAAGCGTCATCTGCTTTCTTAGAAATCCCCATTTTCTTTTTTTCTGTGCGTAGCATGTAATGCAACTCAAAGTAACACAACTTTATTGATATGTCGAGATAAGATATAGTGTATCACCATGTTGAATTTGTATAAAAGCCAGAAACAAAATTAAAAATCATCAGACGTGAAATTATGTTAACATTAACACTTTCTCTCCTGCTGAATCAAAAAGACATGAAGCCAAATGTATTTGTTTCTCGTAATCGAATATCTGCGACTTTCCTATATCTCTTATTCTTTTGTTCTACAATTTGTTTTAAAGTTAGATAAACACCTACTGAAACTTTAAAATATGAGTGAAAAATTATTCAAACTCGAAATCTATAAAAGAGGGACAAAATCTCTAATGCTAAAAATTTACACAACCCTTTTTAACAACAAATTAGAGATAATCAGAAAATTACGCATTCTGTTTCAAAATATTTTTTCATCGATGTTGATTAAACCATCTATCTCCATTTGTAGTTATTCAATTTTTTGCCTCATTTTCACTTAACATAACTATCATTGTATCCAAAAGTTTGAATGGATGGATGAATTGATTAATTAATCTTTCGTTGATAGAAAATTCGAATAGATTAAAATTATATATACCTTCGAGTCTGCCATGGAATCTCAATACGATTATCACCATTCATCTTGTACCAGAGGTGAGTATTTGCTGCTTGGTAATACTGGGATATGAGTAGACGGCCCCTGTAGATGACCCAGCCGGTTGTTGGCTACAATGGATTGCTGGTAAATTGTGCCCTACTTTATTGGTGCTAACCAGGAAGAACAAAATACAATTGAACTAACGGGTCCGTCTCTTATCGATATCGTAAACCTTTCGTAACACCGTTTCGCTTTACGGGTTATCGAAACGTATCTCACAAACAGATTGGGCACCTACTATCAGTAAATAATCGGACGGTATTTGAAAAGATTTGATAAGATTGTCATAGACTGTAAAAATATATATGAATTGTATCTTATCACATTTAAAAAAACGAACTCTCCTTGGGTGTTATATATATATAAAGTATTAAATTATTGTTTGTCATTAACAAAATTCAGATGTGTTATAACACGTGTATCTACGGATGATGCCGATGAAGCAGAAGGCACTTATCTTTCCGGAACACCTTGTCTTACTTTTCTTGTACTTTTTCAGGAGTATCCGTGTAAATTTCTCTTTTGTTCTTATTTTGCCATAGTTTCATAAATTTTGTTTTTGAATTAAGAATCTGTCAACATGTCGATATTTTCTTTGTTCTTTGTGTATCTATTAGCATTTCACATGTAATTTTGACGTAATGATCAACAGTGGTAATATCACATTTTGATAAACATACATGTGAGGCTACCGGAAGAGAAAAAATTAATAAAGCTAGTTTTTTTTCCTAAAACACGCCACTATTGGCTCGGGAAGACATGTTACCGAGTAACGTTCACGATCTTTAAGTTCACTATTGTTATATTGATGATGTAATCCCAGTATTCTAATCCATTGTCGACTTTTTCAGGAATCTTTTAAATTGAGTCTGTGTATAAAAATGCCCCGCCCCCTCTCTCTGCAAAATATATGTTTTTATCAACATTATATTGTTGTTTACCTGCTGACGTCATTGATCGTCCAACTCATGGAACCTTAATGATAGCATGTCATAATAAAACGGACGGAGTAGAAAAACCCCAGACATGGGGGCAGAACATAGACAAGTTTCGATATTTTTCCAATAAGATAACACAATTCATCCTGGCTATTTTGCATTCCACAGTTGTCCCAGCAGTGATTGTTCCTATGTACAGTAAAATGCAGCTTGTTGATCTTTATACACTTTTACAGGTGGTGACACAACAGAGAACATACATGACAATGAAAACGGAGACGGGAGACAATACAAAAAGATACAACCATAGACGATGGTGTCGATATACGACAGGGAACAATAGATGGCAGGAGATAATAGATGACAGGGAACAATAGATGCCGAGGAACAATAGATGACAGGGAACAATAGATGACAGAGAACAATAGATGACAGGGAATAATAAATGACAGGGAACAATAGATGACAGGGAACAATAGATGACAGGGAACAATAAACGAAAAGGAACAATAGATGCCGGAGAAAAACAGATGACAGAGAACAGTAGATGACAGGGAACAATAGATGAAAATTAAGACGATAGCAAAAGAAGGTTGGAGACAATACAGATGATAGCTATAGACGGTTGGAGACAGTACAGATGTTAGCTATAGACGGCTGGAGACAGTACAGATGATAGGTATAGACGGTTGGAGACAGTACAGATGGGAGCTATAGACGGTTGGAGACAATACAGATGATAGCTATAGACGGTTGGAGACAGTACAGATGATAGCTATAGATGGTTGGAGACAATACAGATGATAGTTATAGACGGTTGGAGACAGTACAGATGATAGCTATAGACGGTTGGAGACAGTACATATGATAGCTAAAGACGGTTGGAGACAGTACAGATGATAGCTATAGACGGTTGGAGACAATACAGATGATAGCTAATGACGGTTGGAGACAGTACAAATGATAGCTAAAGACGGTTGGAGACAGTACAGATGATAGCTATAGACGGTTGGAGACAGTACATATGATAGCTAAAGACGGTTGGAGACAGTACAGATGATAGCTATAGACGGTTGGAGACAATACAGATGATAGCTAATGACGGTTGGAGACAGTACAGATGATAGCTATAGACGGTTGGAGACAGTACATATGATAGCTAAAGACGGTTGGAGACAGTACATATGATAGCTAAAGACGGTTGGAGACAGTACATATGATAGCTAAAGACGGTTGGAGACAGTAGAGATGATAGCTTTAGACGGTTGGAGACAGTAGAGATGATAGCTTTAGACGGTTGGAGACAGTACATATGATAGATATAGACTGTTGGAGACAATAGAGATGATAGCTTTAGACGGTTGGAGACAGTACATATGATAGCTATAGACGGTTGGAGACAATACAGATGATAGCTATAGACGGTTAGAGACAGTGCAGATGATAGCTTTAGACGGTTGGAGACAGTACATATGATAGATATAGACTGTTGGAGACAATAGAGATGATAGCTATAGACGGTTGGAGACAGTACAAATGATAGCTAAAGACGGTTGGAGACAATACAGATGATAGCTAAAGACGGCTGGAGACAGTACAGATGATAGGTATAGACGGTTGGAGAAAGTATAGATGATAGCTATAGACGGCTGGAGACAGTACAGATGGGAGCTATAGACGGTTGGAGACAATACAGATGATAGCTATAGACGGTTGGAGACAGTACATATGATAGCTAAAGACGGTTGGAGACAGTACAGATGATAGCTATAGACGGTTGGAGACAATACAGATGATAGCTAATGACGGTTGGAGACAGTACAAATGATAGCTAAAGACGGTTGGAGACAGTACATATGATAGCTAAAGACGGTTGGAGACAGTACATATGATAGCTAAAGACGGTTGGAGACAGTAGAGATGATAGCTTTAGACGGTTGGAGACAGTAGAGATGATAGCTTTAGACGGTTGGAGACAGTACATATGATAGATATAGACTGTTGGAGACAATAGAGATGATAGCTATAGACGGTTGTAGACAGTACAGATGATAGCTATAGACGGTTGGAGACAATACAGATGATAGCTATAGACGGTTGGAGACAGTACAGATGATAGCTTTAGACGGTTGGAGACAGTACATATGATAGATATAGACTGTTGGAGACAATAGAGATGATAGCTATAGACGGTTGGAGACAGTACAAATGATAGCTAAAGACGGTTGGAGACAATACAGATGATAGCTATAGACGGTTGGAGACAATACAGATGATAGCTATAGACGGTTGGAGATAGTAGAGATGATAGCTTTAGACGGTTGGAGACAGTAGAGATGATAGCTTTAGACGGTTGGAGACAGTACATATGATAGATATAGACTGTTGGAGACAATAGAGATGATAGCTATAGACGGTTGGAGACAGTACAGATGATAGCTATAGACGGTTGGAGACAATACAGATGATAGCTATAGACGGTTAGAGACAGTACAGATGATAGCTTTAGACGGTTGGAGACAGTACATATGATAGATATAGACTGTTGGAGACAATAGAGATGATAGCTATAGACGGTTGGAGACAGTACATATGATAGCTATTGACAGTTGGAGATAATAAGGATGATAGCTATAGACGGTTGGAGACAGTACATATGATAGCTTTAGACGGTTGGAGACAGTACATATGATAGTAACAGAACACTGCAGACAATAAAAACGATAGCAATAGATGACTTAAGATAATATATGCCATCTGTTTATTATAACACGTGACACAAGATATTTTGATAACTTATTTTGCGTTCGTTTGTTACGATATATAAATGCAAGTTCAATTATGGACTTTAAAAGACAATATTTAAGTTCCAAATAATCTTCTTAGTTTATACGGATTAAAGAAACTTATATACACATATATTTCGTTACATTTCATTGTAATAGTTAAATCGTTTTAATCAATATTTTACATGATCGATATATGTTCGTCGTACACAGTGCTAGTATTGTGTAAGAGGTACATTGTAAATAAGACTTCAAGAATTGTTGAAAAATAATTTCCGTATTTTCTTGATCTCGAATGTAGATGAAAAACTATTTTGTATGTTCCATCATGGGCTGGCATATAAATATAAATTCGTGATTCCATTGGGGGTCCTATGGTTCGATGCTATTTAAAGAGACACCACATAATCATATGACCATTCATTCAGTGCTGTTGGCTTATGGGAGACAACTCCTTTTCATAATTACTTATCGATCGAACTTCCAAAATGGCCGACACACAAACCAGAGGTCCCCAAGATTCACACTTAGAAGACGACAGAACTCATGTGGAGGGACAGTTCGTCGGTGCAACATTACAGATTGGTGGAGGAGGTCCCGTGGGAGAAGGGACGGAACCAGAAGTGAAATTTGCGGGAGGTCCTGCCCAGGGATTCAATCGTCAACAGCGTCCTGGCAGTGTTTACGGACGCCAAAGCGTAAAGTCCACTACCAGTCGAACGTCGATGAGACCTGGCTTTGTAAAGGGTGAAAAACTTTCCCAGAGCTACTTCAGTTATAAGGTAATTATTGATTTTTATAAAATAAAGTTAATTAGGAACATATGTGAACGCTAGGTACCGAACCTTCTATTTATGTTATAGCCATGGTGAGGATCGATACACAGTCATGTGAGTTGCATTTGCAGACTCGAACGCACCTGAACGTAAACGGAACTTGTTACATCCATGCATGTGTAAAGTAGGCACATGTGATCATGTCCTGACAGATCCCATTTATATTGAAAACAGGATAAAAACGGAAAGATAGCGCACTCACCATTAGTATACCAGTATTTTAGTTAAATGTCTAAATTATTTTCAAAAAGAAATGTTGTACTGAATACGCATTGACTTATTTGATAGTACCAGGGATCTGTATTATACGTCCCTGATAGTACGTAGTCAAAGCAATACATTCTCATAGCAATAGAGTTTTAAAATAAGAGCATCGCTCTTTAACACCCGAGTGAAGCTTTTCAAAAATTAGAATTTTGGCACTTGAAGTTTATCCTATTTTATGATTATGTATTCAACCAGACCATTGAACATTAAGCGGTGATCAGCATGTTTAATGAAGAAACTAGTAGTGAACTTTTATGTACACGTACAGCTTGAAAATCAGAAATATTTTTTTCAGTTTCAGTTATATTTCTAAAATTGTATAAATTCTTTGTCCTGGTTTTGCCCCAGTGAGCAAAACACTAGATTTTGGTAGAGTTTCCTTCCTTATATGAGTGAATGAACAGGGAAAATACACATTCATGTTGAGTGCCCCAAACTGAACACGGGTCTCTAACGTGATAATTGACCAGCTCTACCAACTGAGCCAAAGTAGCATGTTCCATCAGCTAAGTGACAGAGACCGTATTTAACAGTGTATAAAAACCATACCAACCTGCTCCTATAACATGTGAACTAATCACGACTATAGTGTATGGTACCTGAGTGCATTTTTATTCGTCTAAAGAATGTTTTATGTTTTGAACTGAGTATATTTTGCGAGATGCAGTGAATGTGATATTTTATATGCCATTATGGCAAATCTTTCACAATTGCATGTCTTTTTTGGGAGTGGGGAGGGGGGGGAGTGTCCCAATGTTTTGAAAGGTATAGAAGAGCTGATAGTAGCACATTTATGCTGATAGTGGCTTATCTGAGGTAATAGTGGCACATTTATGCTGATAGTGGCTCGTGTGAGCTAATAGTAGCACAATTATGCTGATAGTGGCTCATCTGAGCTAATAGTAGCATAATTATGCTAAAAGTGGCTCATCTGAGCTAATAGCAGCACATTTATGCTGATAGTGGCTCATCTGAGCTAATAGTGGCACATTTATGCTGATAGTGGCTCATGTGAGCTAATAGTAGCATAATTATGCTGATAGTGGCTCATCTGAGCTAATAGTGGCACATTTATGCTGATAGTGGCTCATGTGAGCTAATAGTAGCATAATTATGCTGATAGTGGCTCATCTGAGCTAATAGTAGCTCATCTGAGCTAAAAGCAGCACATTTATGCTAATAGTGGCTCATCTTAGCTAATAGTAGCACATTTATGCTGATAGTGGCATATCTGAGCTAATAGTAGCATATTTATGCTAACAGAACATTGTCGTCTATGAGACGAGACAATGGTTTTAGCAGGCAAATCCATATAACCTATCGATAGAATAAAAAAAACTAATCAATATTTTTATCGTTTGAGTCGGTTTCAGTTATCCTATTCAAGCAAATGCTCTGTTCTTTTAGTACTATAATAAGAGTGTTATTGAAAATAGTCATAAATCTATTTTATTGGTAATACTGATTAGATAAAGATAAAATCAACACTTATTGACGTTAATAGAAGGGAGATTACTCTTTCAATTATGAAATAAAAGAACAGAGTTCAGTTGATTCAGTTTTCTTTCTCTGAATATAAACTATATTTGGGGGAAAAAATTCCATCTTTATTTTGTAATTTTGCAATGTTTTAACTTATATTTTCATCCTTGTTCATTGAAGGCTATATGTCCGCTTTTGTACATAGCAAATGAAGTAAATCTGACATTGTTGGGTTAAACATTCACGTTTTGCTATTTTAGAGCCTCACTTGTGGGTTACACCTAAAAGTTTTCAGTGTTCCCACTGAATTTAAAACATAACCAGTTGACACCTTGTAGAATGATATGTATGCTAGATAGCTCAGTGAAATTGTGATAAATAACAGGTAATGTCTGTATCAGCAGCTTGGTTTTAATCAGAACACTGGGGCCATTCCCTAGGGTAAACCTACTGTGTCCAGGCATAGACTTTTTGTATAGTCTGTGTATTCAATCAACTGACATGGTTTTGTCAAAGTACAACTACGATTTTATCCAATCACAAGAAAAAGATAATGAAAGATAATGAATTATTCAGAAATTCTGTTAATTTCTAATTTTCACACATATGGAATTTGACTTCATTTATTCATTTCAAAGTAGGAAATATTTTTTCATGGTTATACTGCGGCACTGCTGTAATGCTGTAAATAGGGTTAAGCATTTTCATAAATTTGTAGATGTTAATTTTAAAGGCGCTAAAAACTACTCAAATTAATTTTCGACATATTGGTGTAGAAATATAGAGTTGTTAATGTTACATTTCATCACCATAAATGAAAATTTTAGATTAGATTGACACAAATTTTAAAAATTGACACAAATTTAAAAGTGGTATTGTCCCATTGGTCTTATGTTTGGACTTTTTAATATTATTATATTTTAACATAATTAATTTTTTTATCAATACAACAATGTATTTTCCTTTTTATTCTAATTCCCTGCAGTTCTGCCATTTACTATTGCAGAGCTGCTTTTGTGAGCAATTAGTTTGCGTTAGAAAATTACATTATCTTTTCACAACTTTATAACATAATGATCAGTAACTACTCAAAAGGGCAGATAACTCTGTAGTCTATATTATGAAAATACAGAATTGCAACTGCACCATGCACATTTTTCTTTCTCTTTTTTAAATAATTTTCTATTAATGTTGCACTTTAATAACAATGACAGATTTAGCAACTGTTTTTATGTACTGTTGGTATACTTAATTTATAAGTTTCAGTTGTTCTGCATCAATGCAATTCAGCTGAAGAAAAAAAACCACTGAATTATAAAAACTTGAAATTCTTGATTCTTGTTTTATTGCAGAGAGAAAATACAAACAATACAAACCTGGCGGTCAGTATATATATATTCATCACATTATGTTTTCAAGCTGCCTAGTTCTTGTGGTTTTTTTTAATGTAGTCAAGGTCAGGTCCTTATCAAGGTCAGGTCCTTAAACACTTCATGTATGTTTTTTTTCTTCAAAGAAGCTTTGTTGTCATAATAGTATTAATACTGTGTTTTAAGTGTGTAGTATCTTTATATAACACTTTAGAATGCTTAATAGTGTCTTCTTAACATCCTTATGGCTTCTACTGGTCACATGGTGTTAAGCACATATCTACCAATACACATTGATACATTGTAATGTACTTTTGGGGGCCATTAAGTCATTGCAAGTACTTGTAAATTACCTTGATTTCAGTTGGAGGTCATTTGATTAAGAAATGAAAATGTTGATACATCCAATTCATCATCTTTTATTTCTCTGAACCAGTTGATAGGTACATGATCTTCAAACCTCTGATGTATGGTTAGAAGGGTCTGAGGTCTCCAAGCCTCTGATGTATGGTTAGAAGGGTCTGAGGTCTCCAAATCTCTGATGTATGGTTAGAAGGGTCTGAGGTCTCCAAACCTCTGATGTGTGGTTAGAAGGGTCTGAGGTCTCCAAATCTCTGATGTGTGGTTAGAAGGGTCTGAGGTCTCCAAACCTCTGATGTATGGTTAGAAGGGTCTGAGGTCTCTGATGTGTGGTTAGAAGCCTCCAAATCTCTGATGTATGGTTAGAAGGGTCTGAGGTCTCCAAACCTCTGATGTGTGGTTAGAAGGGTCTGAGGTCTCCAAATCTCTGATGTATGGCTAGAAGGGTCTGAGGTCTCCAAGCCTCTGATGTATGGTTAGAAGGGTCTGAGGTCTCCAAGCCTCTGATGTGTGGTTAGAAGGGTCTGAGGTCTCCAAATCTCTGATGTATGGTTAGAAGGGTCTGAGGTCTCCAAACCTCTGATGTATGGTTAGAAGGGTCTGAGGTCTCCAAGCCTCTGATGTATGGTTAGAAGGGTCTGAGGTCTCCAAGCCTCTGATGTATGGTTAGAAGGGTCTGAGGTCTCCAAGCCTCTGATGTATGGTTAGAAGGGTCTGAGGTCTCCAAGCCTCTGATGTATGGTTAGAAGGGTCTGAGGTCTCCAAGCCTCTGATGTGTGGTTAGAAGGGTCTGAGGTCTCCAAGCCTCTGATGTGTGGTTAGAAGGGTCTGAGGTCTCAAAGCCTCTGATGTATGGTTAGAAGGGTCTGAGGTCTCCAAGCCTCTGATGTATGGTTAGAAGGGTCTGAGGTCTCCAAACCTCTGATGTATGGTTAGAAGGGTCTGAGGTCTCCAAGCCTCTGATGTATGGTTAGAAGGGTCTGAGGTCTCCAAGCCGCTGATGTATGGCTAGAAGGGTCTGAGGTCTCCAAACCTCTGATGTATGGTTAGAAGGGTCTGAGGTCTCCAAACCTCTGATGTATGGTTAGAAGGGTCTGTGGTCTTCAAGCCTCTGATGTATGGTTAGAAGGGTCTGAGGTCTCCAAACCTCTGATGTATGGTTAGAAGGGTCTGAGGTCTCCAAGTCTCTGATGTATGGTTAGAATGGTCTGAGGTCTCCAAGCCTCTGATATATGGTTAGAAAATTCTTTCTGCGTGTTGCACACCTAATGGAAAAGTAATATATCAGTTGTTACCACACCTAGCCTCTATATATAAGTAATCATGATTACATGACCATGTGTACAATGGGAGAATATTTTGATACGCGTTCTATGCTTTAGAGATTCTGTACATCTTACATGGGGATGGGGTGTCTTTGCATTGGGAGAACTTCAGATATGGGAATCTTCTTTCAATAACATGAAAGTTGACAAGACTGACATAGCCCTGTTAAAATTACTGTGTATTTAATATGTACTTGTACTCTGAAGTGTATACTGAATAGGAAGTACATGGATTGGATCTATTCAGGATGTGAATACAAGGACACATATAACTGCACAGGATATACATTGTTAAGTATTCCTATCATGATTTTCTGTAATAGAATATCTCTCAATTTGGTGGTGTGTGACTTTTGATTAAAACTTTTGAATTACAATCCCTCCATGTCTCTTGTCTGGTAGATCAGCATTACATATTACACAGTTGTGTTTAGGTGCTTTATACAACCTCATAAGTCTACCTGTCTGTGTAAGTGCATCCTCACCCTTTTTCTGTGAAAAACTAGAAACTGTTGTATTTATAAATTAAATTATTATACAGTCTGTTTCTTTAATTGAGTTATGAGGCAATCTGTGAAATGTCTGCTTACTTCACTGATCAGTTTTCGGCCTTTATCCTTGCTTCACACAGTAACCAGCCGTTAAGTGTATGAATGAAATTCATTGGTTTTTTTTTCAGTTTTACAAAAATTCAAATTATGTTTTTGATAACCGAACTTTCAAATTCTGATGCCTTTCAGGCTGTTAACATAGTAGTATAGTTTTATTGTGCCATGTACCATGTTTTTGTAAGAGCTTGATGTGTTGATTAAATTGAATAAGGTATTAGGTATATACTTAATAATTGGTAGGTATATACTTAGTAATTGGTATGTATATACTTAGTAATTGGTAGGTATATACTTAGTAATTGGTATGTATATACTTAGTAATTGGTAGGTATATACTTAGAATTGGTAGGTATATACTTAGTATTGGTAGGTATGTACTTAGTAATTGGTAGGTATATACTTAGTAATTGGTAGGTATGTACTTAGTAATTGGTAGGTATATACTTAGTAATTGGTAGGTATATACTTAGTAATTACTTAGTAATTAATGTATATTAGTAATTGGTATATATACTTAGTAATTGGTAGGTATATACTTAGTAATTATATACTTAGTAGGTATATACTTAGTAATTACTTAGTAGGTATATACTTAGTAATTGGTAGGTATATACTTAGTAATATACTGGTATATACTTAGTAATTGGTATATATACTTAGTAATTGGTAGGTATATACTTAGAATTGGTAATTACTTAGTAGGTATATACTTAGTAATTGGTAGGTATATACTTAGAATTGGTAGGTATATACTTAGTAATTAGTAGGTATATACTTAGTAATTAGTAGGTATATACTTAGTAATTGGTATGTATATACTTAGGTATATACTTAGTAATTACTTAGGTAGGTATATACTTAGTAATATATACTTAGGTATATACTTAGTAATTGGTAGGTATATACTTAGTAGGTATATACTTAGTAATTGGTATGTATATACTTAGTAATTGGTATGTATATACTTAGTAATTGGTATGAAAGCATGGTCTATAAATCCCCACATGAGGGAATTTATGAAAATAGCAAGTGGGTGATGTGTTGGTAGTATATTTCATGAGATGGGTGTTTATTAATGCGACTTTGTTGCATATAAGTTTATTCATGACTTCAAATTCTCATACTTTCAGTTTACCATCTCTGGCTCTTCTGTTTCCGATCCGGGAATGCAAGATCAGGTTCTTTTTCTAGATAAGCTTGCCATCCTGAACCTCTGTGATGATTTCATTATAAATCTTTTTCTGTAAATTTTGTCTCTATAATGTAACAATCCAGACCATTATCAAATGATACAATTACACTGGATATTGATATTGTAATAAAAGATGATGTATCAGCTAGCTGGGGCTTTTTCTGCAATAAAAAATGAAATTAAAGTACATAGTGATTGCTTACTGAGCCTCTAAAGTGATTTTTGATGTCTTTTAATTTTTATCTACAAATTTATACATATCTATCAAAATTATGATTACTTAAAAAAGTTTGTTTAACAAGAATAACTTTCAATTTTAGGAAAATCATATTTATTATCAATATTTTTTTTGATAGAATTCCCTAAATTTCTCTTTTTCTATATTAGGAAATAAGAGAGATTTTTTATCTAGAAAAATTACAATTAAGTATCTTTTGTTTTCAAATATGTAATGAAATTGTACCAAAGGTATATGGATTGACTTTCCCTCCCTTTGCTATTGTACTCGCACTCCACTATCTATAAAGTCTTGTTTTATTTTCACACACAAGAGATCTATGTGATATGAGTACCTCAGATTTGAGTACCTCTGATTGATCTTTGATTTTTGTTTTTTTATATTTTCAATTGAAACTAGAATTTTACAGTTTTGCATAGCTACTTCAGAAAGAAGTGTGTTGATAATATTTGTGGGGGATGTAATCTAGCTACATTTGTGATCATTAAAGAAAATACAATATTAGATACCAAGCAATCATTTTTACAGTGAATCAAAATCTTGGAAAATATATGTAATCATTCTTGTGGTAGATACTAATGTATAGACAAGGGCGAAGTTTAATACTTGTGACCTTGCCCAACACAGGACAGCAATTAAATATTAGCTTTGTGAAATTGGGCTAATTGCCTGTGGTAATGGCTAATGTCTAATGTTGTATACTGGTAAACATGGTGTTTTTTCATGTGGTAGATATTAACAAACATAATTGTGTGATGTAGATATTTTGCTTTAAGGATGATTTTGTGTTGTCCTCCAAGTACACACATAGCTACAGGTTCATATTGTTGTTTCCTTGGTCATCAAATCCAAGTTGTTTTTTCATTAATTTTTTTTTCTGTCACTTTTGACAATGGAATTGTTTTTATTCTGATGTTTTGAATCTTCAAGCTATATAATTGACTAATTAAAAAGAAATTGTGGCAGTATTACTGCTGATTAATTATTTCTCAATACATATATGGCAGCTCGTCGTTCATGTTGTTATAACAGACAGAGAAACTGTTCTTTATAGTACATGTACATGGAAATGTTTGTCTTTGACATCCAGTGTACAGTGATTGTTTGTATTTTCACATGTTTCTTCTGCTTGATGACACTGAAAATTACGAGTTTTTCTGATTTATTTTTAAACAGATAATAGGAAAGATAATCTACTACTACACAGGCATTATAACTACGACTTGATTTGTTTATATTCCTAATCACTTTCACCTGTAAATTTATAGCCTTCCTATCAAAGTAACATTGAATGATATAAAAAGTATATGTAATTAACATAAAATAAAAGGAATTTATCAAAAGAAAGGATGGGAGATAACTCTGACTTTAAAAAAGAAGATAATATTAAGACTGACCTTTAAAAAAAGAAAGAAAAAGAGGAGAAAAACAAAATTTATGACTTAATGTTTGTATCAAAATAAATGGTTGAGATTATCACTTGTAATCATATTTGTTAAAATTAACATATCTTGATATGATTGGTGAAATACAAGGCACATAGCTTTTTCCTTTTGTTTTATAGTTATGTGATATATATCCTTATCGTTTCTTCTAAAAAATCAGATATAGGCTAGTTTGTTTTATAGCTTTATTAATTACTATTTGAAATGATTTCAATATTGACTGAAACAAATTGTTCATTTTCATGGGATTTCATTCTTGTTTACATGTGTAGTTCCTGGATATTTCAAATACACAAAATCAGATGTCCTCAAAATTATGAACAAATTAAAATGTTGATATTGATTCAAATACTTGTGGATTTTATGACTAAAATTTATCAGCAAAATCAAGTGGAGACAAAAATGTATAATTTTGGAAAACCACAATATTTACAATAATATTGGTTTTTCTGGTGACTGGTCTTTTTCATTAGATGTTGAAATTATGTCTATACATAATACAATTCATGAATCCATATAGCTTTATTATATTGTCAGGTCTTTGATCTCGTGTCACAGTCCTGACTGTACAACAGAATTAGACAAAGAATTACTAAGTAATGAGACTGCATCATACAATCTGATAGGACTCGCCACTGAGGGCCTAAATTGTTTAAAATTCATTGGTGAAAAAAATGAAGAAATACAAACTCAAATTCAATACAGCTAGGGCAAAGAATGAATAAAAGAAAGATTTACATGGAGACTCCTGAAAAAATGCAATGAGAAAAAGACCAGGTGTTCTGGAAGAGTAAGCAAATTCTACTTCATCAACTACACCTGCTGTGTAAATCTTGGTCAGTCCAAGTAAGTAATGTCAGGTTCTCAAATGAGAACAAAGTATAAAACAACAGGAAAATGAACCAGCACCAAACTCCAATGTGATGTGTCAAGGGTTATAAGTGAATATTCGATTCAATAGAAAAATATAACAATTTTCATCAAACAGTTTTAGAAAAATTAGGACCCATTCAATTCAAATCTGAGAATGTTTTAAAAGCTTTTCTGCTGGAAGTGATTTAGGAAATTAAGGTATTGATCTAAATTTCAGAAGTGGTTATAAATAACAAATGTTTCTCTTCTTCCAGGAAAGCAACTTCGAGAAAGCAGTGGGGATTTGTGAAGAGAAAGCCAAACCAGAACTTGATGGAAAACGGGTTGGGGCTTGGCTCCTTACAGAGTAAGTGTAGATCTCAGAATGATTTAAGTTATTCAAAGTTGTGATGGGAAATAAATCAAAATTCATTAATATTAATGTACTGTAGGATCTTTGATGTAGTTAGTTTGTTATCAATTTTATTATCAACTGACTGTGTGTTCAGTATTTATTGAAAGTGAATCCACTGCAGTAATATATTCTTTTCTTTTGTAGTTAAAACACATTAATGGATTATACCCAAGTATTGTCCTATCATTGAATTAAACACAAGGAAATATTTGGCACCAATGATAGATTGTGAAAAATTATGATTGGTCAATCACATCAGATTAAGTTAAACGATTCACGGAAGTCTTATGACCTAGGGGCTAGTAATCACTTTGTCTGTGTGCAAGCAATTGTGAAGAACTTAACCTTGAAGAAATGTAACAATTACACTGTATGTCCTTCATATATTTAGTCCATATTCACACTGATTTTTAACCAAAATCTGTTTTTACAGAATTGATCACTGGGATAATGAGAGAGAGAAGATTGTGCTGTTGTTTGAGAATTCTGTGATGGTTTACAAATACCACTTCATACTGAACAAAGTCGAGGAATTCAAGCGTGTCCTACTTTGGGTCGTCGACACTGTCTGCATTGGTGATTTCAAGTATCCAGAAAAGAGCATCATGCCGTAAGTCGTAGATAGGTCTCAATATGTGTTGGCTGTTATTATTTTATTCCAAAAAATTTCCAGTAAAAGATTATTATCTCTCAATACATATTTATAGATGTACAATGTATATAACTGTACTTGAACGTCAGAAGGAATGAAAATTGGTTGTGATGATGCTTGGTTTTTTTTTTTTTTTTTTTTTTTCAGAAAAATTCAAAATATTGATAAACATACATATATATAAATATAACCTTAAGCTTACCATGTAGAATTATCTGAAATAAAAACGATACAAAAAAATATGTAACCTTAACCTGTCAAATATTTTCAAAGATAAAGACAAATCCCCTCTTCTTTTAAATAAGATTGTACAAAAGACATTCAAGTGAAAAGCACCATTGAATGCAACTTTTGAATTAGATACAGTAGAGCCAAACAATGAAAAAACATCATCACACAGCTATTTCATTCTTGTATAACTCCTCCATGATGCTGACCTAGACTTTAAACCGAGGAGGTCACTGAGGAAAGTCTGACGTGATCGAAAGTCTAAATCAGGAGGTGCACTAGCTCCATATTTCAATCAATTTCCTGTCTCTGATAACTTTAGAAGAATGTCAAGTACATGTGTATACCCTGAATTGTGTGACTATTCGGATGAATTAAAATGCTGCATGCAGGATGGCAAACCTTGCGGACAAGTAGTCCTCCACCAGTGCATACCACCTGCAATCTGAAAGATTGTGCAAAAGACTTCCTAGTGTATTGCACCTTAAAATAACATTATGTCTTATTTCTGATAGTTTCAGACTGTTCGAAGACATCACTGCTTATTTTTTCAAGACTTTCAAAAAATATCAATATTTCATCATGCTTATGGAATATATATGTTCTTCAATTATATTAATAGTAATGGGAAATCATTGAATATCTATATATCATACTTCATGTCATTCCAGTGACAGAAAGCATGGAGGAATACAGATCCGTTGGAACAAAGGCGAGGAGCCGACTTTTGCCCAACGCTGGAACCCATGGAGTTCCTGTATCCCCTATGCCACTTTCTGCCACCATCCCCTGCTGTACAACCCAAAGGAGAACGAGACAGTCACCTACAATGTTGATGAGTTCTACGAGTCCCTCATCAAAGGTATAAGTGATGCCTACAAAGCTAAACGACCGGCCGAAAAAGTCACCATTTTAGAGGGTCCTATCATGATAACGAGCTATGCAAGTGTATCGTCCATGATCTACAATCAAAGCGGTCTTGGTTTTTATATGGACAGAAATGGGATCTGCTTTTGATGGATGTGCTCATCTACGGTGATAAAAACAGACTGTGTTTCTGTTATAAATCAAGTACTTTTTCTAGATTTCTGAAATTTGTTGGTTTGGCATTTTAGAATTTTGTTCATGTTCATATTAATAAGAAAACTGCTGTTTATTGGATTGTCCAACCCATGGACATTATTTGGAAAAATTTGCTCTGTCACGTCAGGCAATGAAAATGTCTATGAAATATACTAAATTTCATGTATTACATAAAAAAATATCGTAAAAGAAAAGTTTTTGGCCATGGCATGTTTTCTTTTATCTTATTTTCGCTAAAAATTATAGAACTTGCGTGAAGTCATAAAAATATGCAAAGTGTGTCACTGAAGTCTGACAAGTGTAAATTTTTAGCACCAACGTAGACTCTCGAGAGTTACTGTTTCACATGTAACATATTAGACATGGTAAATCTTAAAGCATTCCACTGATGCACGTTAGGTTCAAGTTGTTTCTTAATATTGTGCCATAGTATCTCAATGTAAACTTAAGATAGGCTTGCCCATACCTGTTATATACCACTGATTGTAAAATTGAAAACACTGCTATCATGTATACTGTACATGTATAATAATTCATTAGTAGAATTAAATTCACATCATCAGTGATCACAAAATACTTACAATAAACCACAGATAAATGAATTAAACGCGATAATTTAAGAATTTGTAATTATATATAATTTACATAAACTGTAATACACTTTAAATGCCAATATACAAATTGTACCTCATCTTCTTTGTCAAACATGTTTTAAAAGATTTGGATCATATTACTTAAAACCCTTTAACAAACATTATCATCACTGGATAAATGCTTGGAGTTCATGATTGTATTGGGATTAAATAAATATTTATCTGGGTTTATCTGTTCTTTTTGGTAATTTTGGCTTAAGTTAATCTCTTTTCTACTGTGCATCCATATCACTTCTTTCCAAGTTACACACACAGCCTTACATATGATCTATTTTTGTCAGTTCAAACTTGTGGGACCTGACTCAAAAAATATATTACTGGTCAAATTTAGTTAAAATCAACACTTATATTATAATATACTGATACTGCATTTTAATGTGCAGTCAGAATAGACCACCAAATGTATAAAAGTACAGAAACTTTAGACTTGAAATTCCATTTTCTAAACCTTTCTTCTATTCTTTTTTTGTTTTTTGTTTTGTTTTTATGTTTAGAAATCATATTTTAGGACATGAAAGTATACCATGTAGATCATACAAGGGAGATAATTAAGAATCCCTGAAGGTGCCTGATTTGTTTTCGGTTATATATTAAATCCTGATGAATATATGACCTTTAAGTAGTAAATTTTCTGAACTTTGATACACTTTTGGCCTCAACCTAGAAGATTTGTTACCAATAATATTACCACTTTTTCTGGAGCTCTTAACATACAATGAATATGTATTAGCCAGGTCTCCTCCTTTCCAAAACATCTTGAATTGTTGCCTTGTTTTCAAATTGTACATATGTCTATATTGTATATGTGTAGGGTAGAACGTGTGTGTTATTTGTATATTTATTGATATTATAGAGTTTAAAGAGATTTTATTAAGAGGTTTAATTATTGAAATCCTATCTATTTTGATGATAGTTTTGTGAGTTACTAATTAGCGTCCATTTTTTCTATGTTATTCACTGTATAGACATGTATGGTATATAATTGTATATTTATGATCACAATTGCTTATTATCTAATGTGCAAAACCTTGAACCCCAGAAACCTTCACTTACACCTAAGATATCAATTTACATTCATTCTATGTTTCACTGGTTTTCTCAACTTATTTTGTTGAGTATAAACATTTCCCTTGGATACTCCAGTGTTAAATAATCATTCCTTTTTATATTAATGTATACAACCCTTAGAAGTCTAAATACCCCGTATGGGACCCCAAGTCAATCAAACCTATGGTACTACAGAACTCTTGATCAGAAAGAAAACCCAGGTAATGAACAGGTGCCCTCATGTCTGATTTGGAAATTGAACTCTTGCAGTCTTAGTGCAGGATAGAAATACCATCCACTGAACCAATTATTCAAGCACATATATTATGTGATATTAGTTTACTGTGTCAAACCTTGTAGGTGTTGCATTGTTTGACCTGTAGTGTCTTCAATTTATCATAGATTTAATAAGACAATCTTCATTTTTCTATTTTTTGTAAACATTTTATTTTGTTTTGCATAATATTCTTCTTTTAAGTCTATACTATACATTTCATTTCTGTTACAATTGTTATCATTCTATCAATAATGAAATGTGATTACAGAACAATTTGATTCTGTGATAACATCCAACCCCAAAGTTGGAATCAACTTCAATCAGTACATAATATAACTTCATTTTATAAAAATAGAAATAATTTGTGATCATATTAAACAGACTCGGCAACATGTGAAGAATGTTATCATTCTGAAACTAAATGTTGTTATGACATTATGTTTTGTCAAATCACAAAATCTCAAAATTTCTTAATGAATTCTATTTGTGTGTTAACAGTTGTTTGTGAGTAATGGTTCAGATATTGTTTGCACCTTTGTGTGGTAGAGCAGAAAAGATGTCACTGTACATGCCGTAGTTTGGATATTACCGTATATATACTGTATATATGATATCGGATCCTAATTTCTGTGGTTTACAAAAATTTACATGTGCACAATTTCATTGGCATGTAGTTTTGTGATGAAATCCTACCTTCCAGTTTTGATAGTGCTGTAACCCATATGCATTTGTTGTTTCTGGAGGTATAAATCTTTAGATTTGGAGTACCCATGGATTCAGTGAAAATAAATTCTCTGCAAAAATGAACAATTTTACAGTATATTGCTTTTGTCCACTAGTTATGTTAACTTTTGTGTTATAACAAAACAAATAAATTATCAAGCATTTTACTCTAGATATTTGTTGATGTAGTGATTCACCTGTTATTAATTACACTCACATTTATAGTGATAAGAGAAAATCCATATGTTAGGGGTAGTCCATCACCCTTTATCAATTAGTGATGCATGTCCATATATGGATGTAAGTTTTGTAGTGATAAGAGAAATAATAATCCATATGTTAGGGGTAGTCCATCATCCTTTATCAATTAGTGATACATGTCCATATATGGATGTAAGATTTGTAGTGATAAGAGAAATAATAATCCATATGTTAGAGGTATTCCATCATCCTTTATCAATTAGTGATACATGTCCATATATGGATGTAAGATTTGGTTATATCAACAACACAATGCACAGGTGAAATGAATTCAAATTATATCTTATTCTTTGTTTTCTTGTAGAGTATATGGATAAAATATGTAAAGAATATCATATGATGTTAGATAATGATAGATTCTATCACCACACAATCCTGTTTAGTGTGATATAAATGTATACAGTTCTTGTATATCAACCACAATCAACAGTCACGCTTTCAGGAAGAACATACAAATTTAAGGAAGAGGACATATAAAATACATCATTGACCTATTAAGAAGTATATGGATTAAAACAAATTATATTAATTAAAAAACAAATGATACAGTTATTAAGTAATTTGGTTTACATGCATGATATCAAGAATTAAATCATGTTTTCTTTTTAAGGATATTTAGAATTAAATAGTGTTTTCTTTTTAAGGGTTAAGGTGCATATTTTACTGTGAAATCTACAGCTCATATAACTAAGTCAAGTGTTGTAAGAACTCCTTGTCTTTCTATAACTATAATAACTTTGTTAATCAATATGATTTCTCTGGTTGGTCCTAGATAATTGATCTCATTATTCTATTTAGCCATGAGGCCATTATCAATGTGATGGGATACATATATTTTAGTGAAGCAATATATATATGTATATGTACATATTTAAAAAAATATATATTAGTGATCATTGAAATAAATTTAAATGTATGTAATTCTATGGATTTAATTAATTTTTTGATATTTTTAAAGATAAAAAAGTAATGAATGATATATTTACCATTGAAAATACAGGCAATAGAGAAAACCATATTTCATTTCATTAGTTCCCTGAACAGTACATGCTGTTGACATCAAAGTTTAGATAGAATACAGAAAATATCCAAAATCTAGAAAAAACATTTCAGTAGTTTTAATGGAGGGGAGAGAGATAATTAAAGTATTAATTATTATAAGGTATTTAACAGAGGTTTGGGGCTTACTTATATACCAATCCAATATAATGGATTTGTACATGTAAGCTCATTATACACATGTGTTTAGACAATATATACTGTACACCAATATATTGTATGAGGGAAAACATTTTATCTATTATTTTAATTCACCTTTAAAAAACAAATGAAAAAAACTTATTTTAGTTAAAAAATTCAACTTTAATAACATATCATAAAAGGATGAAGGATTTCACTCTATAGTTTCCCTGACACAATAAACTTCAAACTCATAATATATATAAAGCTGTGTGTGATATGTCTGGTATCCATAGTTAACTTGTTGATTTTTTTATTGTTTTTCTATATCTATACAAATATTTATATCTGCTTGGTAAGATTATATTATAGCTGAGTTTAAGTGGAAGAGATTCAAATAGTTAAAGCTTCTTTAATGGAAAAAGTGAGAGAGAAAGAAAAGGCAATTCTGAATGGTAACATCATCAAACTAAATAGTGGATGGGATACTAGTCATGAAAATAACAAGTGATAATTTCCTGACTCAGTTTGACGATTAATAATATATCTCTGTTAACTTTGCTCACTCTGGCTTTGTTATGCTTTATCAGGTTAATTTCATTTTTTCTTTTTTATTCTTCTATTTTTTATTTAAATTTTCTGACAAACCATGTAAAAAGCATTGGATCATAAAGTTCCACTAGATATATATGTTGAAATTCCACCCTAAATTTAGATTCTTGATTAAATACCTCATACAGTAGGTAAATCAATATTCTAAAAACTTTGAATAAGATGCAGCTTATTTTCTTTAATACATGTAGGAAATTGCACTTTTTTCAGGACAGGCTTATATTTGAGGTGAGATGTTTTGGAGTGTTTAGGTACAAGTGATCAGCACTCTGAAGTAGCAACATCCATCTCTGATACACTGCTTCATACAGGATAACATACATGGATGTGATTATATTTTGTCCATTATAGTATATATTAACATCACTCGTCTATGAATAACTAATTCTACTTACCACTTTGCCACATGTATGATGTGATGTCAGTGTCTTTTGATAAATAAAATCAGAAAAGTTCTTCAGTTGTTTGTAATTCCTGCCAAAGAGTCAATACCTGTGCTCATTGAAAAAGTAAAATGTTTCAAGTTTTACTTGCCAGAAACAAAAGAAATGTCTTGTTATACACTTTTATAAATATTCATGTGTTTTTTCTAATTCATTACACCTTTATAGCCCACCAAACAAAATTGATCTATGTCCGTGGTTGGTCTGTCCCTAAAACAATTTTTGTTATCACGGTTTCTTTATGAGCATTGGATGGATCTTTTTCAAATTCCATATGTAGGTTCCCCTTGGTCTCTAGTTGTGCCCGTTTGATTTTGGGACTGATAAGAAAAACAAAATGGCTGATAGGCGGTCATCTTTGTTTTTTTCAATGAAATTTGTTATCACTATTTCTTGAAAGGTCAGTAATGGATCTCTCAAATTTCACATGTAGATTCCCCTTGGTCTCTAGTTGTGTCCATCTTATTTTGGGACTGATCAGAAAATATAAATGGCCGAGAGGCGGCCATCTTGGATATTGACTTTGCAAGCTTGTTATGCTATTTCTTCAGAAGTACTTGATGGATCTTTCTTAAATTTCATATGTTTGTTCCCCATGGATTGGCGCCGATCAGGAAAACAAAATGTCCGACAGGCAGCAATCTTGGATTTCGTCTAGTAAAGATTGTTATCCCTATTTCTAGAGAGGAAGTATATGGATCTCTCTCAAATTTCATGCGTATGTTCCCTTTGGTCTCTCCTTATGCTCATTTGATTTTGGAACTAATCAGAAGAAATAAAATGGCTTCTAGGCGACCATTTTGGATTTCGCAGATAAAGATTATCTTCGCTATTTCTGCAAAGGAATATTCAAATGTCTTATCAATAAGAACAAAACCAGAGAAAAGACCGGAAAAGATCAAACTTTCAAAGAGCAAATAGATATCAAATAATGGTGGGCGCCAAGATCACTTTGGGATCTCTTGCTTTTTCCGTTGTATGAAATTTTTCTACAAGATACTGACACGTGCAAATTCTGGTAACTTGTTTGTTGTATATTTATATGTTATCTCTGTGTTCACCAGTTCCTGGATACTACAATAAAATTTCTGATAAATCATGGAGACATAAATGATGATTGAATAATAAGAATCAATGGCAACTACAAGAACTACGATACTGTTAAATCCCCACTGTGTTAAACTGTAACATCCCTATTCACTGTAAGGATGTATGATACTTGGTGTCCATATTCAATTAATATAGGCTCCAATCGTTAGTTTTGAAAGTTTAAAAAGGAATTCAAGAAATATTTGGAATATTATTAAAATATCAATAATTACATTAATTAATTATTGATTATATTATAATATTAGATCTATTAATCAATGGTTAATTTTCAATGTGTCCGTTTTTACATGGAATATAGGTCCATTTGTATAATTGAACAGGGAAGCAATATTTGATATACAAGTTACCAGGAGAATGATCTATTTCATATAGGGATACTTATTCAACGTTTTGATGGACATTGGTCGATTAGTAAAATTATACCTTTAAATATTGGATATTGATCAGAACCATTTTGAACACTAATTTTGGTCCAATAATGTTTTTCAATGAAATAGGTGATAATGAATATAAAATATGTAACTAAAATAATCATGACCCAAGCTACATGTAGCAGGGCCACACGCTTATTTTGATTGTTAGTCTATTTCTATGTTGTGTTAATCGCCCTGTCAACAGTCAGGATCATTTTGAGGCGAGGTGTGAGAAGCTGGCGGCAACCTTACCGAATAGCATACGGGAGGCCCGACGCATGTCATCAAGAATAATCGTGAGAAGACTGAAAACTGAAAGAAATTTCTGGGTTAAAATGCTGAAAAGAATATAGGGTATTACTTTTTTTATGATACCGGTATTGTTGAATCAAAACCTTTCTTTCGTTCATATATTTGCATTTGTTTTATTGAATTTTAATTTATATTATGATTATGTGCACATGTTGGTATTTTCCTCTTGTTTTATCTATTCATTTTTCCTACAGTATTTTTTATATTTTTAAATATTTTTGTTTACCTCTAGTAAGTTTTCCGGATACTGTATTCCGGATAAGGTGAAAGTTTAGACATATATAAGCACATCCGCAGAACAAAGCAACATGGCCGGCGAAGTTGTTGTCGATGCGTTACCGTATTACGATCAAGGCTATGACGAGTCTGGTGTCAGAGAAGCTGTAAGCAGATATGAAAAAAAAACATGTGGAAACGTTTCCCAAAACTGAATGACTTATTTTAATATTAACAATGTTTGATATTGAAACTTCTTTTATGAAAGACGAAACGAGTACCCGGACTTCTACAATCATTACAAGATCAATTGCTATTTATGTTTTACATCCTACCTGTGTGCTTCTATACTATCAATGTATTGGAACTTATAATTATTCCAAATTGTATAATCCTAACAATCCTTTTCTAACATATCATGAAATAGCAAAGAATATAATTGCTAATATAATCCATAGTCGATAAATACGATTGTTCATAATATTACTCTGATGAATACCAACCACAGTCTATTCTGATATTTTAGTATAGTTACAGAGACATGCTATGTTTTTATCGTTGTGTACGGTATGGAGTTTCCATGTATAGTTCAGATTAGTTTAAACTTGCTTTTATTAAAATATATAAAAATTGTTAGTCCGGATTGTGTAGATTTATGCACGACGTATTCGAAAGCTAAGTACATGAAATGAAATTATTGAATTTGCTTGAACAAATATTGAATTTCTTATAGTGCTTGGACTGTAATAAGTAAAGTTAGGTCCCAATTTTACATCAGTAAATATCTTATTTTCAGGCTATGGCCCTAGTGGAAGAAGAAACCAGAAGATACAGACCAACAAAGAATTACTTGGAATACCTACCAACAACAAATATGTCTAACTTTGAGGTACCTAAGAGTGAAGCAACTTAAAATTTTAAAAGTTACCATTTAGATGATTTTAAGTTGGTCAGACACAGATTTCTGTATAATATAATCTCATGATTATTTAGTTTCTGCTTCAAGAATTTTTGTTAACTCAGGCTACCTACTTGCAGTTTCCAACAGATTCATGTTAAAACCATAACACTCTTTCCTGAATACATTTCTTCAACGTAGCCGAAAATGAAAATTTTAATACAAATCATAGTGTTCTGCACTGATTTTTAACCTGATTCCCTGATTCCTCGAGTGTATGTATTAGAATATATAGGGTTATAATAATGTATTGCCTGAATATGGCTGTTAAGCCTGAAAACGTTAGCGGAATACATTTGCTGTGTTGATTTTATTCTTTTCAAATATCTTATCGATACACAAAGCATTTTTAAGTTACATCTATTAGAATTGTATATACTCTGAACATAGAGGTCTATTTCAATTTAAAAGAGGGCAGTCTGATGGGAAATCAGGACAATAATTTGAAGGCTGGTCTAAATGAAACAGTATCTGCTTACATAGTTGTCATAATGGACTGAGTATTAAGTACTAATGTATTGTTGGTGGTTTTCTATTTATCATATCAAATAGAAACATCTGACAGAATTCTGGCAATAGTAATTATGTTTAGTATGGTCACTTCCATGATTTTTTTTTTTATATTTCTTAACAACATTGAGACTGAATGAAAATTTCTAATTTCTTTGAAATGTTTGCCCCATTCCACAGTACATGCAGGCAATAAACTCTTAAACTCCACTACGAATTCCACTTCTAATTATAAGTTCAATGTGTGTAGTTTTTGTGAAAAAAGAAAATATGATAAGAATATACCAGGGCTCTCACACCCCATTTTGGGACTGGGGCCCTTAGAATTGGGGAAAATAATGGTGTTTTCCTTAAAATTGGGGAAACTTGGGGTCTAAATTGGGGAAAAAAAAGATACTGTTTTGCATTGGGAATGGGGCTGAATATCAGCCCCAAATCTGGCAGATCAAGAGCCCTGTATACAAAGTAGGAAATTGTCAATTTATATAAAGTTATGTGTCTCTTAAAATGATAAAATTTTCACTGCTGCTATGGCTGTACATTGTATTGTTTCAGACGGAAATAATGAAAAATGAGTTTGAAAGACTTCAATCCAGACTGCCCATGGATATGTTAAGTATGAAAAGGTGAGAACTAAATTGATTGCTATCAAATTTCTTCAGATCCAGAGATGAGAATCCTACTTTCATCCTATGTAAAATTAATATCATATAGGAACTATCTAAATTGATCACTACCAAATTTCTTTTTATCAAGAGATGAAAATTCTACTTTCATTGACTGTAAATACGTAATTTATGGGATTTTTAAAAACTTTATCTTTAGTTGATTTATTTTTGAGATATTCCAATCGTAAGATGAGGTTTTCAATAAAGTATCATTTTATTTTCCCCAAAGATATGAACTTCCACAGCCTTCAGCTGGAAAAATGACAGATGTGTCTGCCTGGACTGAATGTGTGGAGAATTCTCAAGCCCAGTTAGAACATCAGAGTCTCAGGTATGTTAAAATCATTTTTAAATACAAATTATGTCAAAAGTAGAACCATGAAACTATAATTCTATCATAATAAATGTTGCACTTTATAAACAGAAAAATATACTGAATCATTAACAAAAGGAAAGAATGGTGAATTCAGTGCCATTGAAATAGAGATAAGAGGGTATATGACACCAGTGTTCTGTAGATTCAATTGTTTCGATATTAAAATCTTTGTGATATATGGTTGTAGAAATAATATGTGCCCAATGTCATTGAACCTAATAATATAAATATTTTTGTTTTTCTTAGGATTTTAAATTTGGAACTCATATCTGAATTTGGATCCCACACTTGGAAAAGCTATAATAATGTCCTCGTTCAGATGTTAGACTCTGCTCAGAAACACCTTCAAGATCTGAGGTAACTATCTTCTAACACAAATCATTATTTATCTGTGAAATCACAGAAATAATAAATGCTTTATCGGATAATATGATTTTTGTGTTAGAGTTATCTCCACTGCTTTCTTCAGTATATCACATGCACCATAGAAAAAAACCGGTATGTGTGAAAAAAATAGTTATAATATGTGATGTTTTATAATATTATTATTTACACCAGTAAGTTCAATTTTATTTCTATAGAAATAAAACTAATCTTGGCAATTGATTGGGAAATGATAGGACAGAGGTATTTTGTAGGATTAGAATTAGAGTTAAAGGTTCAATCATTTTTTTGCTTAATGATTTCCTGGAGATTAGTTCTCTTATCAACATCAAAGGCATTTTTTTTCTTTGCAGGAAAAAGATTCAGGAGATAAATTGGCAGAGGAAAAATGAGCAATCCAATGCTGGTAAAGATCTGAAGGAACTGGAAGCAAGGTATATTTCCTTACAATGAGGATTTATTTGGTATAACCTGTCTTAATCATATTTATAAATCCTTAACCAAATTTATCAAATTTACTTTCAATTTGACTCAATTCTCATCAGTTTGTATTTAAAAATTTCCTTAATTAGCACAGATAATTACTTACTTGAAAGTATAATTCTTAAAAAAAATGTAAAAAAAAATTGGAGACAGAAAATATGTGGACAAGAGATGGAACATAAAGTAAATAAGAATGGGGAAGAACAACAACCATAGATAACAGTATATAAAAAGAGTGTTGAAATATCTCTGTTTACAGCTGGGTAGGATTAGTCAGTAAGAACTATGAAATTGAGCGGGCCTGCGTGGACCTGGAAAAAGAAATTGCGGACATGGAGAGGAAAAACAGAAGCAAGAAAGTAAGATATTTATCATTGTAAATAGATAATTTTGGAATGTGTAGGAAGCTATATACTCAGAGGACTGAAGAATTCATTTGCCTATAGATCTTGGTTTGATATACCAGTACTTTCAACATTGTTAGAATGTATGGGTGAAAGAGTCCAAGACTGCCTTTATCATTTCTATAAAAGCTGGATACCGCAAAAAAACTACAGGGTGGTGGTCACCAGAAGCCCTCCTCTTGCTAGTATCTCTTTACTACAATATTAATTCACCCCTTAGTTTTCTTTGTGCCATATCAACACGTTTATTTTGATTCTCAGCATTAAAGTGAACATTATATATATGTCAAGATTTTCCTTTGTTCCGATTGGATAAGAGATCATCATGTGCAAGTCAATGTATTTCATAGAAACTCCATGTTTCTGACCCTCAAACAGCCCTTTTGGAACTCCATGTACATAAATTGAGAAAATCTTGACCATTTAAACCCAAAGATATTATATTTATTTGTCTTAGAAGATAATTTCCTATATTCTAATTCCATTTTTTTGTTTAAAGGTTTGAACATTTGGCGACATTTTATATCCTCAGTAATTAAATTATCGATAAAGATATATAAATGTGATAAAGATATATAAATGTGATAAAGATATATAAATGTGATAAAGATATATAAATGTGATAAAGATATATAAAAATGTGATAAAGATATATAAATGTGATAAAGATATATAAATGTGATAAAGATATATAAATGTAAATGTAAGTTGAAAAATAAAGACCTTTGATTCAGGAAGTATTTTTCTACCAACTAACACAACATTTTCCGCATCAAAAGTCCATAGTTGATAATTATTTGTTGAAAGTCACATGACGCAGAATGTCAGTGTGATTATGATAAACATTGCATATATGAAAAATAGCAATACCATATTTATCTTGAATTGTAGTGAAGGGTTGGGCTTTTAATGGGACACTGACACTGAAGCATGTGTTGGTGGTTCCACTAAACAGTTATAGATAGCTGTGTGGATGAGCTTGTTAGATATAAGGTTGTTGCTTGATAAATATAGTATATTCTGTTAGACAGTTGTGAAATGATTATGATATTTAATGGAAGTTTAATAATAGAATATATCATATTTTGAAAATATATCATATTTTGAAAATATATATAATTTTGAAATGTATTTCCTTTTTTTTTTTTTTTGCAGTCAAAGAAATAATAGAAGCTTTTTACTAAAGATCGATTTGATGCAGTCGTAAAATAACAAGGGTGTCAATTACACCACAGAGTCTACAGCATCAAGGACACTGCTGCATCAGGAAATTCACAACAAGTGGACAGTGAATCTGTAGGAACTCTTATTCAGCTGTGGCAGGCTACACTAAAATAAGGTTACATGTGTCACTACAGTGTTCTGTTGGCTTGAACTGTAATGTGTGATGGCCTCATGTTTTATTATACTCATACAGAAGGGAGTGTGGATGGGATGCATGGTTGATGGGTTTTAGAAATGAAATCACACAACTATTCAGCAGGCAAAAAAGAAAAAAAAGATTGTCACAAGTGGTTTTTCAATTACATAATGAATCTTTTCTCATGCTTTGTCATTAAATTTGATTTTCTGAATGCTAGATCAATAGAGAAAGCTTGTTCAAACCTCGCTCCATTTCCTTGAACTCCTAGACCAGATATAAGCTATTTTGCTGTCTTTTGTCTAGTATCTACTGATCTAGAGATCTACTGTGCAGGAGCACCCTTATATCAGACAATGTAGATTCCTGGTGAAGCACCCTTCCAGGAACCAAGTCGTTTCTGAATTTAAAATGTGTTCATCATATAATAGCAAAACATTCATTCATTCATCTTAACTATTTTCGACCAATGTACTTTTCATATGATCATAAATGAATCTAATATGTGTATTTTGTAAATCTCACAATAATGTTAACATATGTAATTTGATTATTAAATAAAATTTTGAATTTTTGTCGTTTTTTTTTTATTTTTTGACAATCTGGCAGAGGATGTTTTCATTATATAAGAAGTCATGATTTGTCATTATTTTTTCAACTTATATTTGACAATATTTTTTGTGTTTTTGTGAGTGAACTGAACACACTCACATGATTTGTCATTATTTTTTCAACTTATATTTGACAATATTTTTTGTGTTTTTGTGAGTGAACTGAACACACTCTGTCACAATGGTTTGTATCTAATAATCTATTGGCCATTGATGTTTTCTCTGCATAAAGCTGTGAATTAAATAACCTATGTGGTAACGTTAGCGTTGATCAGTACATGTGATTTAAACCTGGAGTGACTGGATTTTTATCCAATTTGCTCCACGGTGGAGAAGAATGTGTTTTGTGATGAGCTGAATTTCAGTACCTTCACTTAGAAGATTTCCTATGGAATAAAGTATGTGTACAAGCCTTATCGCATGAATGCAGATATGCTTTCCCTAACAAATCCACACAGTCCTGATTTCATGTAGGTTGGCTAGAAATACACTTCATTTTTCACAGAATACAGAGTTTGATAATCTATGGGTAGTAATAGGTAGATAAAACGGCGTGTTTCATATATTAAGAAGAACAGTTTTTCTAGGGCAAAATGTTACTCTTCACTTTTGTACAGAGATCACCTCGACAAATAAATATGACATTAACACATCATTTTCTGCTGTACAACATGTCTGGGTACCATTTCAAGGTATTATTAAACTAAAAACATTACTATTTTTATGTGCTGAAATCTACATGAAGCTAAGGTATAATGTAGATATAAAGGAATGACCCTTATGAATATATTTCCATGGGAGGTGAAACTGTTGTCACCAATTGTGATTCTACAACAGTATCACACTGATGATAAATTAATATAACATAATTGTTTTTGGGATAATGAATGAAGGGAAACGTAAGTTACAACTTGATTTGCTCAAGCGGACGATAGCTTTTAGAGTGGTTGAAATTGATGGAGCGGTTGGTACCTGTCACTACATCAGGAATGAGTTATGATTATTAAGGTAAACAGATCTTAAAACTGGAAAGAACGCTTTTCTATCGCAATGTATTGAGATTATCAATTGACAGATTTAAACTCGAAACATGTACCAGAATACATGTTCTCCGTGTCCTGTGTCGCTGGTGCACTAGCTTCAAACAACGAATGAATTGACATTGCCACGATTTTCCTGATGTGCATAATATGTCCTTTGAGAATAAAACTTTTAAAGCACATTTTCTATAAATTTGCAAGACCTTCATTTGAAAAAGTTAAGAAATCTTAAATCTGGGACAGTTGTGGTATTCTCAAGTCAATCTTAAATTAAAGTAAACAGTACGAAGTTAATCCTGTAGCGAAGTTAAATTTACTTTCGTTTAAAACCCTCGGACAGAAATCTTATAAACATTTCCTTATTTATTGTATACCATTATGTGTCGCTGACTTACATGTTTACATTCAATTCTCCGATTTTACAATTAATAATTGTTAATTATCGTCTGGACATCGGTTCCGGAGCGTTATATATTTCGGAACGGCTTTTTCGTCGAGCCGTATCATATGAACTACTGACCTTCGATTTTGGCTGCTTCCAGAAACAAGGGGGGAAATGTGATTTCAACCAATCACCATAAAATATTAAGAGTATATATTTCAGTGGAAATTTTTGTATATTGTTTGTTAATACACATTTATAGATGACAAACATCCTCCTAGATGTTATGAAATATCGTATCATTTCATCCTCAGATGTTAATGTTTCGTTGTTCGTCTGTTATGTGAATAAAAATCAACAGGGAATAATTGTCCACGCCTTCTCGCAATGTTTTGGCTACGGAAGTCCAACCATGCACGTCTTATATTGAAAAAAAAAATGATGAGTTTTGAATTATCACTCTTGATGACTCATTTCTTATTTTATTTAACTAGTGGGTTGTAGACCGAAGGAGGAAATATCAACCTTTTGATAGTTATAAACAAAGAAGTTTACCAAGAAATATGACTCATTTGCGGAAAAATAAAAAAAATAAATAAATAAAATAAAAAAACATGCATTTAAAGGTGCACACATACCATTCATCAAAATCTCATTCCTTCAACTGGTGGTTTTATGCAACAAATGTGTTACTTTTGATTCACTGTAAGCTAACTTAAACGTCTCTTTGATTTAATGATGTCATCAGCATCGGAAGTGCAGTCACATGTCCGATACAGATGTCGGTAATTTTCTGTGAGCGAATTTGAGATCGGATCAGTGGATATTTTTTTTTTCAGAAAAAAAAACCCACTGTTGTTTAACGATCAGTTTCTTTTTAAAATAAATTTCATAGAATGAACACATATGAATTGATTCATGTATTTGTTTGATAGCGATTCCTCGACTTAGCGTAGCTGGCGATAAATGTTTCTTAAGGGGTCCGAAACTAATGCGCCAAGGATACATATGTGTTAATATCTTCATTTACAAATAACAACACTTGTTGTCGTTAAATTAGAAATGAATGATTACTAGCATTTTTTCATATGCATACATGTAATACAATGTAACTTCGTTTTTAAACATAATAACATCCTTGGCGATAGTGTGAATTTCGCCTTGTACAGGGAATAATATGCATACAATATATTGTACAAATACAGTTATCATTACTGTTGTGTCTATGTATTCAATTTTTCCACTTCCCATTGTCAAATAACAATAGGCCTAACCAAGTTTTATAGTATGTTGTGCACGTATGTTTCGTTTCAGACTTTCTGTCAATGTAGTGATAAAAACAGTTTCACCAAGTTTTTTGCAAGGCATGATCACCAAGACCTATTGAGAAATAATTCGTAACTTTGCGTGAAGTCTCTAAAGAAAGCAACTAATGCTTGTTATGTGGCGCTGCCGAAAATGCGACGGAATTTTTTTTTGCGGAACACTTTCATGTAACTGTGTAATACATGCCATTCCGTTCGGATGTCCTTCGGAAGGTATGCTTTGATATACGTAGCGCCCCGGCTTGATTGATGTGTTCAGAATGCCTGCAAGGAAGAGAGCAGTTTGATAGCCACCCATGTGTTTCACTGAAGTATGAGCAAAACACGTTCTATATATATATGTATGTACCGGTATCTTTTGTCTTTAGGTGTTGAATCAGAATGGTTCTCGCTCGATGAAAATTATTACACTAAACATGCATTTTGTATTGCAGAAAATAAATGATATTGTCTATCCGTCAATAGTAGTTTTTGGCGAAACGTTGCAGATGAATTTATCTACCAATTACAATATATTTTACCTGTGAAGTCTCCCATTTAACAATTCTCTCTCTCTCTCTCTCTCTCTCTCTCTCTCTCTCTCTCTCTCTCTCTCTCTCTCTCTCTCTCTCTTGTTTATGATTGTTTCATTGCTATTACATCCTGCTGCCATCCTGCTGCCACCTTGGACATGTAATGTGTGTGTATTAATATGTTTGGAAAGGGCTTTATATCAGTTGTAATACTGGTGCTCATTCCTATTTCTGCTTATGTACAATATAATATGTTTAAACCAAATCAAATCAAAAAACAATTTTATCGCGTAAGTACAAATGGATTAGATAGTAGAGTATGTGTCACTCGCTCAATCTCTGATTACACAGTAGACGAAAGAGGTTTCTTCTGGATATTGTGAGACCAACTGATTAATTATAATTGAAATTTAACTACCATATAGTTGTCCAATAATTTGATAACTATATAATCTTCTTTAACCATTCACTAACTGATATGGGGAATTATCTACAATAACATATAAAGGAGTATCAACATCAAAGACTTTAACGCTGTCAGTTGATAAATTATTTCTTGTATAAATAAAAGAAAGAAAAAGAAGGGTTCTAGGACAGAACCTTATGAAACACCACCAGATTTATTTTATGAAGTTTAGAACTAAATTCTATAGTCTTCAAATGTCACATTCAGGCACCTATCAGTTCAATCATCTTAAACTAATGAAATGATATATTAACTCTTCCCGAACACCAAGTCCTATTCTGCTTGTGAGACTCCGTGTAAATTTTTCCTTTGTTCTTATTTCGTTGAATGTGAATTTCAATTATGATTGTGTTGACATGTTGGTATTTAAAAAAAATAATAAGATACCTTCATTCCAATTCTTATCGAAGTATATGCCAATATGTAAAATGACAAATCTGACATTATCCATATTTTTACTTATTTCATCAAAAACATATATAAAACGAGAATGACTAGATAAACTAACCTTTGTGAAATCCAGCTTGTCGCTTAGTAAACAATATGTTTAGTAATAAGATTAAATAGATATATTAACAACAATAAAAATAAGAAAATTTAATATTGCAATGAAAGGACAAAATATTTAGGATTAATATTATCAGGGCCTTGTCATGATCATGTCATGACCTTATCTAAAGGTCGATTTTTCAAGGGAGATAAATCTGGCATCGACATAAGTTTAAGGCTCCAGTTTTAAGTTTCAAGGAATCAATAAGTTTGTAATTTCAATATTATATATATCACAATACCTATATTGATGTGAAACACAAACGCAAGAAATATCTCACTGAGATCTATCATTCTAACATAGTATAAATTCAAAGACAGCATGGAATGTGTTAAGTTAATGTACATTAATACAGTTAACACAGCCTTTTATCCACAGAGCAGAGTACTTGAAATAGGTCTAACCAAACAAGCTCTACGGCTGTTGTTCAAGCTATTAGCTGAAAAGAATGAAGTTAATACACAAGTAATTGCTATCAAATGCTGACAAAAACAAGGAATGATACTTACTTCCAGTTTTGCAATGTAGCTTAAGTGAGGATTCTAAAGAACAGGCCTATCTGTATATGCGAGCTGTGCTCAGTGTGAGCCAAATAGGTAAAATAATTTTCATTATTTTCATAATCTTCATAAAATAGATAAATAAATAAAAGGTAAAATGATATCTTATCTAAAAACCCAGTTATAATGATACTAAAAAGAATTAAAGTCTAAATGAAAAAAACTTATTATGATACATTTTCAGATTAATTCCAGATGAAATGTATTTTATGATATCTAGACCCACTTATCTGACAAGGCACTGTTTAGCACATATAAAAAAGGTTTGTTTTTCGAACGGTGTATTAATTAGTTGTTGCTGTCATCTGATGTAGATACAGTAGAGTAGAATTAAGTAATCAAACAGCCAAGAGCTTCATATGAGGTTTATTTCGATGCTGTTTCCGTTGTTGTTAAAGAAGGACCTAGATTATATCAGATGACCTTGGTGACATACATAGACTAGGCCCTGTGTTTTTTTCCAAAGTCTTTCTTTCATAATTCTTAATATCAAAATAACGACTTGACGTTTCACCAACTAAACAACACATTTATATCATGAGAGCTTGATGAAGTAGACATCAAATTACGATAGATTATATATGCTTATGGTACTTACTGAAGGGTAGTTTGGACAGAACAGATAATGTACAGTAAAATCTGTCATATCTCGAAGGATGACAATAAACAAGGTCACATTTGGCAGTGGATCTTTTGATGCAGGTTAAAAAGACCACGAAAATTAAATTCCTCTATCAGGATAAATATTCCTTACATAATTTTTTTTTCTGAACAAAAACTTCATCGTGTTATATTGCAACCTGAAGTATCGGTTATTATGATATTCCGGTAACTAAACTTAAAGAACTCGGTACAAGGTGCCTTATGTGGTCACAACGTGGTTAAATAACCCAAGGTAAGTGTTAACTTCATTCACTAGAAACACGTTCTGTTCTTAGTTGTACCGCTCTACGTAAATCACATGAATGATACATACCTTTGGCAAATATGTCCCAGAGCAATCTTCCTCGTACGTAAATATAGGTGTGAGTAACGGGTACATATGACGTCACCGACTGACCAAGTATTGTAGGAAGTAAAGTGAAGGTGTCATAACGTTGTTTGGGCTATACTTTATCTATATGGGAATATCGACATCGATAGCTTCCGTTTGTATCAACCATCAAATTAAGCGATTGAAATATGATATTTAGTATCTGTAGGCGGTTTTCATTTTGATGCTGATTCACAAAAATAAACTCTCAAAATCTCGAAATTGGTATACCGAATTCAAAAGAGATAGCACTATAATTTTGACACAAAACCTTGATGGGATTGAAGTCAGCAAATGACCACAGATATCACAATGAATCATCTAAGTTTTACCATGAAATAACTTAGAACATTCATATTAGTAATCAATTTCACTGACCCTATATCATTATGTAATTACAATAAAAATGACACAGCTACATGAGACCGAATGGAAAAACAGCTTAAAGATAATAAGATAGAAATAGAAATTAAATTCATTTTCAATATCAAGATGTTCACTAGAGTACAAGTCCTTTTATCTCTGACAATATTGGTAATCTTCCTCTTTCAGTTTTAAGTTGATATTATGGCCGTCCTGTTGTTAATATACCTTTCTTACATAGATGGTTAATGTGTTTCTTTAACGAAAACTCATAATTATCAACCAGACAATGATATAAAGAACCTTTCAGCAAGTAATGGACATCATTATTTTAAAAAAATATTTGCAATCCCCCTGTATATTACTTTTTGTCCAAACTTCGCTTCTATTGGTACCAGAAACCTATAATCTAACGAATGTTTATATTTCTAATCGCCTACTCAATGTTATCTAAAAGATGTGTTCATAGAACGCTTTTGATTATATCAGATATATGAATGTTGGAAAATGTATTAAATCACAAGGGGCTCGTGCACCTCCGCATCTAGATTTTCACTTGTATTTCGATAACTTTGGATTTTTCTCAGTCGCCTCAAATTTTTCAAGATTTTGGTCCTGGAAAAACGAAACAGCTGTATGAAGAAGTTTAATTCATTATGTGTATCTAATTCTGATATCTTAGAAATTGCTATTTACATGTTTACTGGGTTTTTTAATCATACAATACACATATATCTATAAACTTAGTTCACTATTTCAATATTTTCTACTTTCTAATAATATGTATTGGACATTTACCTAACTTATAATACAGTAAATTATGATATGTACCTATAGCAAAAGTCTGTTATTAAAACATTCAGTAAGTTTTGTTGGTACTCACAGCGACAATAAAAGTAAAAGCGAAGGTATAATGATGAACCACGCTTCAATACACTTTTCTACCATCTTATCATGCCATTTGGGATTTCATCACCTTCAATAATCCTGTTAGTGTTTCAATTCCTCCGATCTTTAAAGTTTCCAGTCTACTCGGATTCTGCTGTTTCTCTCCGAGCTCTGATTATGGTTTCGTGTGGTGGAATAAAATATGTTTGTCACGAATCTGTTTTAGAACAACAGAGAAAATGCAAAATCTGAATGAAAACTAAATGCAATGAAACTGGGGAAAGATTTACACAGATACACTAGAAACAGTTATAAGGTAAATAAGACCTTCGTCGACATCCGCCATGTAAATCACAAAGACATACTAAACACTTTAAGATATGAAGAAGTATAAGTAAATGATACAGTTCCTGTTTTATATCGAATAAAACTACATCACACGACTGAAACATTTTTTATCTGCTTTTGAAACAAGATCTGATCGTTTCATTACCAGCTAATTTTATTCCAGTGTCAACATCATTAAGATAATAGTATAAAGAGTACAAACCAGTATTAAAAGTTCTATGACTAATATTGTGTAAATATACGTGGCAACAATTATATTGTAACATTCCCTTGTAATAACATTTTTTCAGATCTTGACTAACATAACGTATAATTAACGGAATGTATATGAAACTGTTAAAATAATATTGATATTCGCCTGAATAGCACTAGAGACAAGAAGAATATTTATAAAATTGTATAAATATCATTAATATTGATTTGATAGATAAAGATAATAGATCTGTACATTTATCGGGTATTAGGTAGCCATGCCCGGATTGCCCTTGGACGTATATCATGACACCTGCAAAATGTAAACAAAACTATCTACAGGGAGATAAGAATAAATGCTTGTGTCATTTGTACAGGGACCATAAAGCTTTCACCGACACGCGAGTTGTTTGGCGCTTCACTTCCCACTCGTTAATGATCATCTGTCATGTCACGCCTCGTTGATTTTGGTCGGCTAGTTCCGCCTGAAGGATTTGTCACCGGCTCGTGACCAATAGCTACTTCCTGTGGCTAAGTCTTGATAAGTTCGACACTGTTCAATGTTTCGACCACTTTGAACTTAATCCACCCGAGAAGTAACACCAACAATTTCGACAAGAACTGCGCACACCCAAAAAGGACTTACCTATTAGGAACAGTAACACTATGTGGACCCTATTATTTATTATCGGTAAGACTTTTTACTTTCACTCTTCTTCTTTCTAAGCTGATAATGTAATTTCTTATCATATTAGCTGTTTGCTAATTTTGTCCTATGTTTGCCTATTTTGTCCAATTTTTGCAATCCATTCATAAAAGATGTGTGCTGTTTTTCTTTTTTTTCTTGAAAAACGCTTGATGTTTCTGACTATTCCTAAATATTATCTGATTTATTGCAAAAAGACATTGGAAACCATCAAGAGTTCATTGATGTCTGTTTCATTAACCGTCTTATCCTCATCTACTGCCAACGTATTTTTCCTGATATTTTAATATATCATTTCCTGTTTTCTTGATATACTGCCAAATGCCTAGAAAACTGGCACTATAGAAGGTTTAAAATACAATATAGATCCGTAAAAAGGAATGTTTAGGCCTACATTGACAGGTTATTTTATTAACGTACCAAATCATTATTTGCTTTTTCTACAAAACGACTGTACAAGGAAATATAGTTATATTTTGTGTTGGGCAAGTTGTACCGGGCAAGCTTGACTTTAATAAGCAAAAGGGATGTTAAGACAAATGCCTGAAAATAGAAAAGAGCTTCTGTTGATTTTGTAGATAATTTATGTACTTGATGATAACACACCAGATCCTGTATGAAAAGAGACACTATTTTCGGACAGTACAACCATCTGTTGTATATATACTTGATGTTTTCCCCATGCCTGACAAATTGTCAAGATCGTGTCCATCCATCTGTCTACCAGAAATCTATTAACCCTTTATCGGAGTATGCATATCAACCGTTTTACACGCTGTATACATTAGCATAGGACATCGCCCAAGTTTAATATTAGGCACAGGGTTCGAAAACTCACAATCATGATTTTTTCCTTTGGCTAAACAATGAAGAACATGTTGAAAGAATCTGAAATCAAATTTGATGAAACTAAGACAAAATATTCATGTTTAATCAACGGAGTTATTTTTAAAAAGCCACATGTTAGTAAAACCACCATTTTACTCTTATTTTCTAAAAGAGAGAGAAAGTTGCATACACATTGGTACCTGTGGGGACTATTAATACGTACATACTAACCACATCGTAAAAGCTATTTTTCAAAAAAATACTCCTAATGTATTAAAGAAACTTATTAAGTTGGGAAGTGTGAAAAATACATTTCGGTTTTGTAAGTTTCTAGTTTCCTGGTTTTATAATGTATAATTGTGTATAAAACCTGGTTATGTTACATATTTCCAGACGTCGGCGTCTGAAATGATTATAACATAATGACTTATTACATAATATTAGCTCGTTTCGTAATATCAGACACGGAAGTGTTTCTATAGCCGATAGCAGGTTGTGTCTCAACATCATTTTGGTCGTGATACTTAATACATAACAAAACTACTATGAATTTCAATATTCCCAATTAATTAATTATTAATTACAATTAATAATGTTCATCAAATATTTCAACTAAATTATTTAATCTAATATCATCATTTTTCTGAATTTAACGCATGGAGTAAGTAAATTTGATTCAATTTTCCAAGCATACATTTATCTATATTTTAAATTAATTTTACTACTTAAAACTATTTTTTGTAAGTGAGTATTATCTGGTATTGTATCCAGAGGGTCTGATCACACCGATAAGATCAATAATCGATTACAAATAACACCGTGAGTGAGTCAGGAATCTAAATTCACGCCTTACATTTCGGGAAGATCCTGTATACTGGATATACGTCACACAGTATTTTTTCTACCTCACGGACACGGAGATAATTACAAATGCGTTGTTTATGTGTGGGTCGTTATGTTCTTGATAAATGGATAAGAATACATTAATCTGATATAGACTAATCACGGAAATAGTATACTCATACGTCTCAGGATTTTTTGTCCAGGACGTTATGTTTGTAAGTGTGTGTGTAATCATTCAGAAGGTTTTGTTTGTGAATATTGTGGAGCTCATATCGACCACGCATTCAGACGTCAGCGTAAATAAATACTTAGATACCTATCTTATTTCAAAATATATATGTGTGTATATATATGCATAAAGCATAGGAACTGTATCAAGATATTTAATGATGATAAATATTCTCTGTGACTGACTTTGCCCTTTGGTAGTAGCTCTACACTGAAACTATTACTTAAGGTTTCACTATCGATTTCCTGTTATCTTTGTGACATCAAACAGGTGATAGTTATCATGGTAAGTAATTCAGTAAGAAAAAGTCATAAGCATTACTGATAAAGATTGACAGTATATAACAACATTATGACAGGAAGCACAAGACTAATATCATTTATATTCTACCCAAACATCTACGTTCTAGTCAACCTTTTTACCATATAATCAATATGGACATCATTATCTGATGACGGATTAACGACGTTGCGACAAATAACACTTTTATCCAGAATATAGAATACTAACGTCTCGTAAACAAACTTTTCCCCATTTAAAACTTATTTTCCACGACAAGTGTACTCACGATAGAAAATGACAAGACAATATATATCCTATTTCATCAATCATATTAAGGAAAAAGAAAGTTTCTCTGACATCCAATGGACATATAAAACTTATATTGTGTATAGCTTTTTCTGTGATAAACTGTCTAGTAACCTATCATTGTATTATAATTAACATCAGCGAATCAATTATTAGAACAATAACTGACAGATGATATTGCAACAATACAGGGCGCTAAGTAACCGTTCTTCTTCAACAGTTCTGTTCAAGTGCTTAAGGCCGTTCATAAGTAGTGCTTAAGGGAATTGTTTTGGGCAGTGTTCTAAACCATAAACTCGCGCCATTGTTCTTCGTTCATGTATTTCAAAATGAAATACACTCCATAGAATACCTAATTTATTTGTTTGTTTATTTTGCAGTGCTGACTGAGAGATTTTTACTCGTGTTGAACTTTATGAAATTCTTTCTTATCTTTATTGTATCATAAGCATATCAAAATCAAATGTCTTGGCACCGCCATTTTTGAGTTGTCGTGACATTCAATGCTGGTGAATTTCAAACGAGTTATGTACATATGAATGATAGTTTTCTGCGTATAAGAAATCCATTTATCTATCCTATTGCAGGCGTGGCTTCTGTAAGTGCGCAAGGTCAAGGTCAACAACAATTTAACTCTCCTTGCCTGGCTTCTTTCGATCAATTATTCCGGAAATGTTTTATGGACAATGGAAACTTTCAGTTGGACGTCATTTTCTCTCTTATCACCAATGGCACCAGTGGACCTCTCCCGCAAGGCACCAACAGGGCCACTTTGCTTCCTAGATTATGCTCGTAAGTTAAACCAACTGTATATACATTGTTAACTCTATTAAAGACGCTGCAGCAAATTTGATAAGTCATATCGTAATCCCGTCATTACTTATGTAGTACAAAACTGCTTTTACAAAATACCAAAATCAAGTGCCCGTTATGTAATTCAAGTTCTAGTTATTGAAATCAATATGTGTCCATCCCAAATATTGAATAATTCACTTAATATAAAAGATTATGAAACGTCTTCGATGCATTCCATTGCTAATTGACAGGATTTAAAGATAACTTAGATATCACGATATAATTTTGTCCTATTAAATTTTAGGTCTAGGGCAAATGCTGACGCATGTGTAAAGCCACTTCCGGAATTGAATGCAAAACAGCAGCAATGTACAGACAGAGAGAAGCTCATGATGGATTCTACTATCCAGTCGACTGGTCGTGCTGTTTCCTCACTTTGCGGAATAGAGCGTGAGTTCACATTAATCATATCCAACCAAGAAATGTGCACTTTGAATACGCGTTTCCACCTTTAAAACAATAGTTGTCTTTCGAGAAAGTGTCTTATGTGTCATTTCTCAGCATATATTCAACGGTGTGCACTTGCAATATATTTTCATAATGTTTAACAGGCCAAATGTTAACTCCCTTTTTCACAGTTAATCGACGTACACAGCATTTCCTAAGAGTGTGCATATCATTTTTACATTTGTCTTTAATATTTTTATTTTTTATCGTCGTGAACAACTTTACCAGATGTTTTATTATATCAATGTTGTGTTTTTCTTTTACAGCTGAGATGCCTGCCTGTCTAGGCAAATTCGATACGCGATTTAAGTCATGTATGACCTCCAACCAGATTAACCAAGATTTTTTCTTCAAATTACTCGGAAACACCACGGAAGGTCTTCAGATGACATACGACCAGCTCAGAAACGTAACTTGTGTGTAAGTATAGACGCGATGCTGGAGTTTGACATCAACGAGATTCACTCTCAGAAATGCTATTGTGTCATTTTCTGTCTAGTTTGTAAAACGAATCAAACCTGCTGATAATTCTTGTAACATTTAAATCAACACCCTTAACGTATAACCCATGATATGACAGTCTCACACATTCTAATTTCCCGAAACTATTCGATAAAATATTGTCCACTTACGTAGATTCAATATAGTAACGTCATAACATGTAAAGCTTTCCAAGGACTTTTTATTTTCGATGTGCTAATAGATAAAAGGTCTTGCTTACAGCCTTCAGACACAGAAGACAATTGTCAATTGCGCATCCACATCTCTGCAGCAGCTGAATGGCGAGTGTACACAACAGGAACAGTACATGGTCGGACAGACTTTACAGAACATGATGACTTCTTACCAGTCCGTGTGTAAGTAAAACAAGATACACTGTACCTTAACCAAATCATCTCTTGTCTTTATCTCCCGAGATACGTCAAGCCTTTATCTCCCGAGATACGTCTAGACTTTATCTCCCGAAATATGTCAAGTCTTTATCTCCCGAAGTACGTCAAGCCTTTATCTCCCGATATCAAATGATTCAATTGTCTCAAAAGATCTATTAGTTCTTTCATAAAAACTAATTCATTCAGAGTATGTGGGCGCATATGATTAATGTTTCCTCGAAACAGAATCGTTACAGATCTGTTTGGAGTAACATACTGGATTAGTTTATTGAAAAAGGATGTACATTCTTAAGGAGTTAGAGGAGTTCTAAAGGTATGAAATATCTGTGATAACAGGAATACAAATGCTACATGTGTATAACATCTACGATGATCCTTTATATCAAGCATTCTTGAAACTTAATCCCAATGCTCCTCCTTTCACTTAGGTGCCGGACGTCCTCTTAGGCCACCAGGACCACCACCTCCACCCAAATGTCTTCTGGATTTCGAGCAAGATTTAGACAAATGTGCTAAGGACTCGACTACTCTTTCCATGGCCGACCTTATGATGGTTCTGACCCAGGGCACAGTACCTGCGGGCAAAGATTCCAACCAATTGAACGCAACTATTTGCAAGTAAGAATTATATTGGCTATTAGATTTACTGCTTTAGTATACAATCTCAGAAATCTGATTCAAAACATTAGTCTACTGACTATCTAATGAATATCGGTAATTCATTTTGAAATCTTAATCATTACATGACTTTTATGGTTAATGTATAATAGGGGGACAAATTACATTATATATACATTTGTTTTTCATTTGATTTCTTTTTTAGTTAAAATAATTTCTGTGATGTTTTTTTCCCATTTTACGGTTATCCTAATGATCTCTTTATGCAATATAAAGCTGGACTTATTTGATGTTCGTTAGTTTGCCTGTTGGTTCCGTTGTTGTATACCTTGTTATCATTTGAGAACGTGACATTACTCACTTTTTTGGATTGGCCGAAATTTAAGTGGTGGTGTCGTCGATGAAGCGGACGACGCTTTCTCCTCTGGAACACCTGGTCTTATTATCTTTGTGCATTTACAGGAGTCTCTGTGTCACTTTTTCTTTTGTTTTGCGCATCATTTTATTGAATTTGAGTTTGGGATTATGAATATGTCGACATGCTGGTATTTTCGTCTCATTTGTTGTTACAGAAATCATAAGGCTTTTGAGAACTGTGGAAAAGAAGCTGTAAAAAAATCCACCTGTAAAGGCCGAGATTTGCTCATCACCGAGGGCACATTTGCCAATATCTTCATCACCATTGGCGCCTACTGTCATGATACTTCCAGTAAGTACTTCATCATCAAAACAAAATAATCAAACAAAAAACAAAAATCATCAAATCATTATTGATTACACTCCTTCATTACTTTTGTATATTATAAATTCCATATTAAATTTCAGTGCCCGGAGCATGTATGCTGACTCTCCAGTCCCAATTCGGCAAATGTTTCAAGCAGGTCGGTCTGGATGAATCCCAATATGTTGGCAACGTCACTGCCCATAAGGGGGCACTCATCGGCACAACGAGAGAAGCTGCACAGACCTATTGCGGGTATGAACTACTGTATCACTGTTAATATTCGCGAGAGAGCTATCACAAACCATCACAACCGTAAAAAGTTAGACCGACGCAATTATATAGCTATACAGTAGATTATGTTTTAAGGCATTTATCTTAAGACACTAAGACACCTAGCGCGTCCATCCGAGCAAACAAGAGTGATTAATATAAGTTGGAAAAACTTGCTTCGCAATTGTTGTAAAATAAATAATAATATATATATATCTACATGGAAAACCCTCAAATCATTACATTGTCCGAAAGCTTTCAACACTGAAAATGTTTATGAATAATATAAATAACGTATATTTTATAACAAGCAATGTGTAAATAATATCCATGTTTCTTTGTAGCAAGCGAAAAGATTTGTATGCCTGTATGAAAAAAGTCATGCATCGTTGCCCTGGAGCTGAACAGACAATGACTTTAACTGGTTTCGACATCGCTTCTATGGAGAGAGCTGTGAACGTGCTGTGTAATGATATTGACGGTCAGTATATTCGTCGATAATGTTACCTTGATCTCCGGCACTTTTTTACCAAAAAAAAAAAGAAAAAAAAAGAGTAAACTTTCCTCCCAAATGAGTACAATGCCATAGTTTCATCTGATGATATTGTTCCATGGCTGTTTTTCATTTCGTTCTCCCTTAATATATCGTCAAATCATTTCAGAAACCGTTTTGCTAAGCGTATACCTACAGCCCATGCTTGAATTATAAATGAAATAAGAAGTAGATTATACATATTGTAAACTCATATGTTTTTAAGGGGTTCAATGTTAGTGGTTATGCAAAAATATGTACTTCCATTGAAACTTTTGTGGATATTCATTACTTAATTAATCTACTTACACTAAGTTCATGTCAATTGTCATCATTTGATCATTAAATGAAAATATATCCCCACAAAAATTAAGTATTTTGCAGTAGTAAACGTCAGTTTCACTGTCACCTGCATTCCTGCAAGTATTGCCTTTTCCTTAGATAGTTTCTTCACGTTTTAAACACTAGATTGTAGGTGGGCTTATTGTTGATGTCACAATGTGTAAGTATAGTCTGAATTCAAAATGTATAGAGGTAGTTTAGACGGAATTCACATGGGAAGGAAAATATTTTGACAACGTTTTTGCATTAAAACCATGGAAAATAAACATTGCTAAATTGGTTAAAACGTTAATGACCACTACTATCAAATTTCTGTAAACATGACTTTTAAACAAGATATTGATGGTTTATTTTATATCATTTCTTGTTTTATAGAATACCTAATTGGTTTGGATTGTTTCGCTAAACCCACTTCTGATTCCGTCAAGTGCATGTCTGATATGGGCAACGCAATCACGTCTCTCTCACAACGGGAAATGTCACGTGGCCTTTCAATTAACAACTTCTTCAACACATTTTGCGAGTAAGTAAAGTATTCCTCCCTTTTGCTTAGTTTCATGTTGACTTCCTCTTTGAATATTGTGTTTCTTTTTCTTCAAGGGAGACAACCTAAACAATACAGGATAATAAATCAACATTTCCTTTTTTAATGATCTAATTAATCAATGTTAATTTGACTTCGAAAATAAATTTGGAAAATATCAATAGTATTGTTAATCTTAAAACATTTCCATAGATGGAAGCTTTGGTATCGATTAGTTTTTGTTTTGATTTGAGAAAAACAACATTTTTCTATAATTTGGTTCCGAGTGTGTCTATAACGTTTTAAGAGCGTAACTACTCCATTTCTTTACAGTATCCGTGTAAAACATGTCCAATGTGACATCAATGCTTGGACCACATGCGACCCCAAGGCTATTGACTTGAAGAGGAAATTCGAATGTCACCTCATCCCTACTAAATGTCACCAGATTAATTCAAAAGATGTCGACGAAATTTGTCCTCTTGCTTGTAAGTATTTTTTGTTTTTCTAAACTCACTTAGTATACAGGAATTATATATTGTAAGTCTAGTCTTTATTTAACATATAACCAATTGAATTCGTTATCATTATTTTGCAAAATGCTCTATTCGAAAAGAAACTATGGACAGCATACAAATACCATTATTTTTTATTATACCGTTCATCAATAATTCTGTCATTACAAATAACATTTTCGTTCATTGGTGAAAAATTTTGATCTAGCTTCACAGCAGATAAGCAATAAAAAAATACCAGATTTTATAGCTGAAATTATCAACTAGATAAGGAGTAGAGATTGAAAACATCTTATGCTTCCATTCATTCTCAAACAGCACAAGTAAAACCTCATCTCTGTGTTGACGATATGAAGACCGGTATCAGAAACTGTATTTCGAAATATAATCTTGATCCGGATGTTTTCCTGGTAAATGTGACCCACGATCGCAGCAAAATAATTGGTGATCCTTCCAACGCCAGAAAGTTGTGTCGGTAAGTTCACTGTTAAAGATCCTATTATTGAAAATATCGTAAAAATCATAGAATACCTAAAGCAACCTACTTGTATTGAGACTTTGAAAAATAATATAATGTGTTAAAACTGCTGAGTCGTCATATGTATAAGACAGTGCTTTAAAAGTGGAAATTTAACTAAGTATCAGGAAATCAGCATTGACACCAGTGGTAAATACATGGTGATTTTTTCCTATTTTAAGGGAAAAGGCTCAGGTATACCAATGCATGCACAACACTTTGGATAAATGCGCAGGCGCAGTTGAGCTTCTAGAACACTGGGGTCACCAACAAGATAAAGTACAGACCGGAATCGATCTACTTTGTGATAATCTCGATGGTAAGTATTTGAAGTCCATCCAATACATTACTTATAAGCGTTCCTCAATTGGGTACGTAGATGCAATGTATACATGTTACTGGCAAAATAAATAAAAGTAGATTGTTTTCTTTTATACAGGTGTGAATAAAAATGATGATAATTTTTGGGAAGGAATGACAAGAAGTAGTTCTTGCGTTTCTCACCTGTGTCTAAAGAGAGTGGCTTCGATTGAGATGCTCTCAGAATAAATTAGGATTGGTATAATTTTCATATCTGCTTCCAAAGAATGATATTATAATTATCTGGCGGAACTGAGCAGTATTTGTTAGGTAGATAAGGTATGTTAAGTTATAACAGACACTGTTTTATTTATAACACTTTAATGTTTTTATTTTGTAGGTTACATCGCTGGTATCGATTGTTCGGAAGAATCTGAAGCCTCAGTCAGAACTTGCATCAGTAACTCAGAAAATAGCATGGCACAGTTAATGTCAAGATACGAAGCAGAGGGCAGTATGAAAGATGCCGCTTTCTTCAAAAAATTCTGCACGTAAGTGATATTATTCATACAAACTAAACACTTCATGTGTGCAAAGCTGTATGCTGTGTTTCCTGGATCTGAACAGTTTTTAGTAAAACGATAAATGATGACAGACTTAATGGATATTCCTGGTATTTTAGTAACAGAACTGTCTGTTATGTTGAATAGATATCTCTTAAGGTTTGTTCGTGTCACTCATTTCATGCGCAATTAAAAAACAAGCAATTACCTTGATATTTGTGCACGTGAAGAAGGTGCTCGATTGAAATATGGTAGCTATGGAAACATCAAAAAAGGAAAGCATTAAGTAATACGACTCATTAAAGATTTACAACTAATGTACCTTATTTGTGTTTCGCAGAATTAAGATGGAACATCTCCAGTGTGACCTTAACGCCATGAAGTCGAAATGCTCTAAAGGAGTGATGGGCCTGAAGACAGAATTTGAGTGTTCTCTTGTTCAGGACCGATGTGTCGGAATGCAGAGGAACAGTGTAGCTGCCGTCTGTAATGAAAACAATTATGCCAGAGCCGAAAGACAAACGCTGACTGCCGGACCCACAGGGAGTTCCAATGATTCGAATGGTTCCACCGCAACGTCCACGGTTTCCTATATAAGTGCTGTAGTTGCTGCTTTGGGAAGTGTTGTGTTGTCATTGCTGTGAAGGACAATCGTGTAAACTATAGGAAGCTTAATCATTCGAGTGAAAGGAACAGTGATATGTGCTTACAGGACTTGTTTCCATTTCATTCCCGGGTCGTTGCAAGATTGTACTGGTTCCTTGATTGTTTTTGTGAAGTTTCAACGGAAAACATTGAGTATTCCGAGTATAATTCGGAACATTTCATAGGAATTTATAACCTTGTATATTCGGAAGGGAGTAGTCCAGAGAACGAGTTTTGGTCAATTCACTGAACAAAGCACCGTCTCGTCGATTTCACAATATACAAAGCTATTTATCAAAACCAAACATTGATTGTTACACATCAGCATTTATCTATAGTGCCCTTGACACAAACCGTAGAAAATGAAATTTCATTATTAGATATTTTAAGGTATATCATGGTGACTAGTATATGCGTGTTGAAATTAACAAAACATTGTAAAAATATTAAAGACCATCTAAGCCAGAAAGATTGGCCAGGTTTACCCACTGAGTTTTAAAATATTTTTAATCTTAAGAAAGACACTTCAGACTTTGATATGAGAATTATTTCCCGAAAACTAGTTTTAATTGCTTAAAAATGACAACAGTTAATACATATCTTTTAAATAGCAATAATGGTAAATTTGACATACAGTCATAAATGCCGAACTGATACCTACTACAATGTGTATTGAAGCAACCGTTACTTTATACGTCATATTTATTTATTTATTTAATTTTTTTTTCTTTTTTGTTTTTTTTTTGTTTTGTGGAATGAAAGTTGACATACTGGAAAACATTCATTTATGAATTTTGAATGAAGCTTTCTCCTCAAAGCAGAAGGTTGACACATGAGATTCAATTGGATGTGAAAATTCGTCTCTTAATTACAGACTCATCGACAGCATGATAGATATTCGTAGTTAATATTAATATATAATGTGATATATTTATGTATGTATCCGTGGTAAATCCATTTCATTGTATCATTATTTAATTTAAGATAGGTTCACCCCGACGTAAATATAAAACAACAATAGTAGTGTAATAAAAAGCATACAGAACTATATCGAGAAATAGAATATTATACTGTGATCTATTTTACACTGTTCCAGGATTATGTTGATAAGTTATAAGTTAGGTAAATAACTTTATATATAAACAGTGGAATTTGCATAATTATTCTTGTTTCAAACAGTCGAATTTGAATAATCATTCTACTTTCAAACAGTGGAATTTGCATAATCATTCTACTTTCAAACGTAGCGAAGAATACATGAAAAGGGAACGCATTTATTAGACTCGTGTTTGTTTTACGACGAATTTCGAAATTCATTTTCATTTTTCGGTTGTTGGCCTCTAATTGGATTTGATTTCAAGTAAACTTTCCGTGTATATTATAAGATATGGCAGTATTATACATTTTGTTGGAAGTCGGTGGAAAACTATCTCTAAGACTATTTATAACTTATTTATTTATTACAGTTTTGTAAGAAATTAACAGAAAGGGCATTTTTTCGTATTTCTGACGCCGACATTAAGTACCCGGCGGAAGTGAAGCAAACAGGGTGGGGCACGTGCAAAATATTTGCTTCTCCTTCGCTGGGGTTGCTTGAAGTGCAGAAAAATTGTAACCGTGCTGGATTCACAAGCGCTGTGCGCATGTCCTTTGAATATTTTTATGCATGTGTGTATGCATTTTGTATAAATGTGTTTGTATCCTTGTTTATTTGTGTGTTCTGTTATCGAAAGAGATATCCCTTTTGAATTATGAATAAAGATTAGACAAATATTTCTTATTTGTTATGTTCTTAGCATGAAAAGGAATTGGTCATAATATTTCATCCAATTACAAAATAATCACATTTAGTTTTTAAAATATCCTGACAGAAAAAAGTAAAACATGTAAAACAGGATCCATACAAATTCACCTGAATTCAAGTTTAAAGGATTCAAATAAGTACATACATTGGTATTTATGGTATTTATTGTTATAAAAACTACACTTTAATTTATTTTTTAAAAATGTTATTCCGTTTGCTGGAACCTTTTGCAGTCTTTTTCAAGAGAATGATGAAGTCTACCTTATGCTTACATAAGTGTCTTAAAAGGATTAATCGGTATCAATATTTAGAGATGATTTGCGAATCATAGCAGAAATCAATTTAGATCGTATCAAAACAGACTGATACAGCATAAAGGATATGGAAGAATCAGGGAAACACAACAACGATAATGTGGACACGTGTGCATTTTCTTGGTTTATCTAGCAGATACCCTACAGCATGTTGTACCGATAGTGCCCAATCAGATCAGAAATATGATGACAGGTAATTCAGGAAATAAAACATCCTACCAATCAACAGTCTCGTTTCATAATCCTTCAACCAATGAAATCTGTTATTACAACTGTTGACGTGCATGTCCTAGACACGGAAGTGAATTTGATGAATACCTCACATCGAATGCAGCCGTGTATCCATCAATGACAATCAAACGTCAGATATACAGGTAGACCAATCCTACAAAATGTTACTTCAGGCACTGTTCCCGAGTTTCAGGGTGTAGTTGTCAAAGAGTGACACAGAGGATGTTATAGCGACATGCGTAGAAACTATTTCCTGTTTTAGAATAAAATATTTCGACTACGTTGGATAATCAACAATGGTTTCATATTATCCGTGGCGGGCTGGATAACATACTCTCATTCCAACAGCTTTGCAGCTAATGTATTTACGTTTCCGTGCAAAACTAATAATGGGGTGTAGAGGTTCACAAATTTAGAGTAAGATAAAATAGTGCCAAAAAATGAATTAAATTGTATCACACAGCTGTTTCGTCCTTCTCGGACACGTCAGTGATACAAAAGTCTAAATTTCGAAGCCTAGGAGGCAACTGAGGAAAATCCAGAATGATCCAATGAGATGTCAAAACCTAGACGAGAAGGCGCACTTACCAAATAATTCAATAAATTTCGTAATTTCCATATACATTTTTTAAAGTTTTCTGTTAAGTAATATTTGGCGCCAACAGGTGTTCAGTTAATGTGACGGCAGTGATCCTATAACAGAAACCATGATATATTTGTATTTTATAGGAACTGTGACATAGTATTTACAGTCTCTGGTTAACAATTCGTATGATTCCAGTCGGTTTATACTGACAAACATAACAACGCAAATAATGGCAAGTCAACAGAATTGCAATTCAATGTGATGGAAGTAATGTAAAACACTTATAAAATAAATATCAACACCGAGACTTATGACAAAGTACCAGAATGATAAGACATAAATATGTTCCATAAGGCTAAGCGTCTTCTGCTTCATAGACAACATTCGTCATATACATTTTGGTCAATCCAACTCAGTAATGTCACATTCCAAAATGAAAACAAGGTAAACATATAAGGAACTACCAAGTACAAGAATATGAATCAAACATGTCTAACTTTATATCGCACAATAGAACATTTCCCAAAGAGATCACTATGACGACCGTGAAACCTCTCCAACATGCATCCCTCGAAACCCTGTAATGTTAGTTTTTTCTCTTATTTGCCGACATCTTGTCCAATACCTGATATCCGTGACAAATCGTTGAATATCGAATCAGCTGCCACATGTAAACACCACAGATATGCGTGAATTTTGCAAAATAGTAAAGGGAGAATAAGACAAGGTGTCCCGGAAGAGTAAGCGTCTTCTGCTTCATCGATGACCTTATCATGTAAATCTTGGTCAACCCATGTAATCAATGTTAGGTTCCCAAATGAGAACAAGGTATACAGAAACGGAACCAGCAGGCAAACTAACGAGCATCAAACAGGCCCAGCTTCATATCGCGCAAAGAAAAATAGAATATTTCTGAATGAAATCACTATGACGACCGAAAACTTGTTTGTTTACTTGTTAATTTTTATTATCAATGGTATACAAATGTATACATATATGGTCAGATGATAATACATTCTACACATGTAATTCATTCCATAGTTGATCGGGTTTTTCGGAGAACTGATCCTACTATCGGCAGTAAATAGTACGTTTTAAGTGGAATTATTTTTTATTCGTCATTCACCCTAAACAAAGGAGTACTTCTTTTTTCACCAAGTAAATCCAGAAGGAAATTGATATGAACCCTTTTAATCACAGACAAAAATATCATAACCACGGTGTAAGGCTGGAACAATATATCGTCTGTTAATTACTTTAAGTTGACAAGTATATAAGGTCTTTGTTGTTTATTTATTTGAAAGATTCAAAACCATGACTTCTAAAATACTGTCGGGTAAGTTTTTAATTCATTAAAGCGTTGCGCTGGTTTTCTAGAACACGTTCGAATCAGGACTGTTTCCTGTGATGAAACTACTAAACGGACACGTTAAGCATTATATATCATAATGAGATCATGTCGCTCTAATATCACATCCGTACACTTTTTGTATTTTTTGTAGACAGATTGGCCTCAAGGGCAATAACTCTAACACGACTATGATGTTCTAGAGTTGACAGATATACTGACAGAGATAACCAATATGTATTCTATAGTTGTTTATATGTATATTTCAATGGCGGCTTTGGATTCTGTCTTTTCCACGTGTACATTTTGAAATTTTATTTCTATTCATCACACCTTGATATCGTGTCCACAGTGAACCCACAGGTATTTGCACGAATTCCCGACCCGCAGTCCATATATACTGAACAAAATAAGTTAAGGATCATAAACTTGAAACAGTGCAGTTTTACATACAAATAATAATATGATTATATTTTAAATTTTAATGACAGAACATTCATTTTAGTCTTTAATTACACAAAACAAATTCATTTGTGGTAATTGCTACCAAGAGCAGATAACCTTGAGTAACAGCACCCTTGAAATCAAAGTGTAAGAGGAAGTAGAGCAAGTTAATCATGTAGACAAGGAAAACTCATCAAACTGCAATTGGCAGTTTAATAGGCAGTATGACCTCCGTTGACATCAATAACTGCCCTGCAACGTCTGCACATGCT